GTCAGTATCTGCGGCGATGATAAAGTGACGTTAGGCCTGGTTTCAACAGAGTGGAGTAAAAAGGGAGGCCCCCCCCCTCAGATTAAAGAAAGCCTCGGTTTCCGCAGGGACAATAGAAAAGAATTACCATATGAATATGACCACGGCAACCCGGCCTCTTAAGACCATCAATCTCCCCGTGCCGAGTGCCGCGATGCCAGATAACCCCCTGGATATCCCCTCTTAACCTCAATTTCTCAGGATGTATTAAGAGATGGTCGTCACTGAGAGAGGAGGGGAGAGACAGAGGGAGAGGGTGAGGGAGAAGGAGTCAACCAGCCAGTGCTGTTTCTCCTCACACACACACACACACACACACCGCCCCAACCCGAAACAAGTTATAACACAATTAATCTTGTCCCGCAGGGAGGGGGAAAAATATGGCAGCTAAGTGAATTTTACATGAAGATCCTCCCTCCTCTTATCCACTTCTCTCCTGGATGGCAGCATCCATCAGCTGGTGGGTTGAATAATGAAGGGAGGGGAGGCGAGGGGAGGGGGTCGAGCCTCTGCTGGTCCGACTGAAGCCTGCAGTCAAAGTGTCAACACAGCACAGAGCAGCAGGAAGTGAGCTGTGATGTCACACTGAGCTGCTCCAGTCAAAAGAGTGGATTTAATGCTTCAAAGTTACTATACAGTAGACTAGAGGTTTCCAACCCCTGGTCAGTGGGCCCAGAACCGTACCATAGGTCACTTGTTGCCGGGATTCAGAGAAACAACAACAACTAAACTATTAAATATTTTTCAATAATATTAACTTTAAAAAAAAGATGTCAGCACTGCCCTCCTGTGGATGTATTGCTTAACAACCATGCCAAAAAGAGGGCACTACTGTAAGATGTATTGCTTAACAACCATGCCAAAAATAGGGCATTACTGTAATAGAAGGTTCTGGGTTTCCGGCCATCTCAAAATCCCATTCAAAAGTTTGGTATTGGTTTAAACATGCGACATCGTACAGTCATGGTGACAGACGCTGACAGATACCCAGTGATCAAAAACACAGTAAAATAACAGTTAGGTCGTAAAGCAGTGAAGCAGGGTGAAAGATTGAAGTGTTCACAGGTTGAGTGTTTTATCTCCGTTCCTGACAAACACATTACCCAACAAAAATCCTGACACTTTAACGGCGGCTGCGTCAGAATCCACAGTAAATATTCTGTAAATGTATGCAGCAGCTGCAGCTGTGGCTGTGAACGCTCCTCAAACACACTTTTGTTTTCACGTGTGTGTGTGTGTGTGTGACCACAGGATGTGCCGAGCCTGGAGACTTCCTCCACTTCAGCTGCCTGAACTTTAATTGTTCACCGTGCTCACACTGTAGTGACCCCTGTGTAGGTCACACTGTAACGTCAACACTGTGACACCGCGCTGTGTTCAACAAAGGATGTGTGACATCAGCGGCCACCTTTTCCTTATTTGGTCAGGTGATGTGTTCAAAGACCTCAGTCGACTATAGCTGGAGACGTCATTCTCTGTAGCATTAGATTTAAAATATGCCTTTATTTAACTGATAGTTAGCTAATTAACAATAACAACAACATAAATAAATTATATAATTTGTAAAACTTTGGCGGGCCGAATTAAAAAGCTGAATGGGCCGCATCCGGCCCCTGGGCCTTAGTTTGCCCATGCCTGGACTAGTGGAAAAAACTGGTCTCTCTCACACACACACACACATACATGACACAGATGTACTGGTGTAGAACATAATGTACACGTCAGAGAGAAAAAGACAGAGATAGAGGGAGATCCTCGTGAGGCAGAAGCATCAGGCTCAGTGTGTTAGAGAGAGAGAGGGAGACAGAGAGAGAGAGAGGGAGAGAGAGAACACAGGTGTAATAGATTTCTGCTGTCTATATTTCATGTTGAAAATTGGCCGGTACATCCAAGCGGTTTGATCTATGAGAGCCGTCGACTTAAGAAAAAACCTTAGCAAATGTGTAATTTCTCCCTTGATGGAACACAGGCGAGAGGCTATTCTTCTTACTCTCCCTCCCTCTGTTTCACTCTTTCTCTCTGGAGTTGTTTCCTTGCTCCCTCCCTCCTCCCTCCCTCCTCCACTCTTCATGCTCCTTGATGTCTCCATTTCATTACCAGCCCTCCATCTATCAGCCAATCCTCCAATCTTTTTTTTTTTTTTTTTTTTTTTTAAGGAGCGACTTTCCTCAGACACACTTTTGGAAAGGGGGCGTCGTGACTGTGGCTGGGTGTCTGCTCCGTGGTCACAGCAACACAATACTGTGTGTGTGTCCAGAATAAGATGGTTGAGTTGTATTTTTATTTTTTTGTTCATTTGTTTATTAAACTTGTACGACGGAATTATTGGATGTACAGTGTGGGGGGTGAGTTCAAATGTAAAACCTAAAATATAAAGAACAGACACTGACACCGTGAGACGCCACTGGATACCAGAGGTAAACTTTCCAAGTGAATTAGTTAAAGTTCAGACAGAACACACAAATACACTATGAATTTATTTATGTAAAACAATAATACATTTCTATTTCATCTGCATTTTAATAAACGATAATGGATGTAAACAAAAATGTATTATTTGAGAGAATTCAGGAAGACAGTGGTTATATCTCCATATATATCATCTTTAAATAACTTTGTTTTGAATGCAGATGAGCAGTTTAAATTTATAGGCTACATGTGCCTAAAAAATCCTAAAAAATATTCGTTTCATTCAAGGTCTGTTTAGAATGCTGCTGCTGCTGCTGCTGCTGCTGCTGATGCTGCTGCTGCTGCTGCTGGTGGTGGTGGTTGCTGGTGATGGTACTTGTAATAATGTGAGATCAGTTGTCTCTATCAGTGCTGGGCCGGGCAGCCATTTAATCATGGTCTAAGGGCTGCCCAGCCTCTCTATCATCATTGAACTGTGTCCAGGGCTAATTGTGGCTATATTTCACTGTCCTGGTGGCTCACACACTGCAACGATCTGCTGGCCTGCAGCTCAGCTGCTAACACACACACACACACACACACTCTATTTACAGACAGGTTCCAGACTGAGAATCATAAACATTCAGTTTATATATATATATAGAAGCACGGACTGTATATCTAATAAAATTTAAAAAGAAGAAAGAATTCCAGTCTAAAAAAATAATAAGAAGCAGTTAGTACTTATTTGGTGTGAAATACTGATTATTATTTTTTACAAACATATATATATTTTTCTAATCTGTTTGTTCCACAGGGAGAGACGGTTCTGAGTGAAGGACTAATGTGCAGCCGATGTTGGATTTACTTTGCTGCGGCTCAGCACTGAACCAGAGTCAGGATCAATGTAGCACTAATGAATTTAGTGATGTTGAAATGTTCATTACGCTGAATTAGTCAAGAAAACAAAGACATGTGGAGAAGGAGTTGAGCCTGGGGTAAACAGCAACAAGAGTCAATTAGAGCGTGAGCCAATCAGAGAGCAGGCTTTTGTCTTAGCAAAATATTCGTACTTTTGTATGAAATTATGTGAAGTGAATAAATGAATAAACACAGTTTTTTTTAAGGACACGTTTTTATACACACACACACACACACACACAGCAGAGATGACATTTGCTTCCTCCCCCCTCCTCCCCTGTCCTTTAATCACTCCATCCTTCCCCTCTGCCTCACCTTGACACTGACAGGTTGTATCACCTGCAGAAACTTTTAATTAAAGTTGGAGCCTGTGCTGCAAAAACAAAAAAAATTCTACGAGGAAGATGGGTGAGTCGATGGGTGAGTGGATGGGTGAGTGGATGGGTGAGTAGATGGGTGAGTGGATGGGTGAGTAGATGGGTGAGTGGATGGGTGAGTAGATGGGTGAGTAGATGGGTGAGTGGATGGGTGAGTAGATGGGTGAGTAGATGGGTGAGTAGATGGGTGAGTGGATGGGTGATGTTTCAAATTTTGTTTCAAATTTTTGTTTCAAATTTCCTCGTGTCCATCGTGCGTGTATTTATTTTTCACCTCTTCCTACATTTCTGTGTTCATTTTTTTATTTGACCTTTGACCTGTTTTACTATGATCTGTATCTGGGACCACATGGGGGTTTGGGACCACATGTTGAACACCCCTGCTCTGTGTAGTGCTACAGGAGACTTTGGCAATCAATTTGAAAATTGAGACTGTTTTAAGTTTCATTCTTTTAGGAAAGATAAATGAGTTTTTACGTTCTTTAGTTCATTGATAGTCTGAGGGTGGCTCCTGCCCGCGGCCCCTAAAGTTTCTTTCTGTGGCCCTGAACGTGTTTGTTAATCATTTATATTCAAACAAACACTCTGTGTCACTTTGATGCTGAAAGTGCTTCTATTTCAATCTTTCTTTCTTTCTTTTTTTTCTTTTCCTTTTTCCCGTGGAAACCCAACCTCATTTGTGGCAGGTTGGTGTTACAGCTGCGGACGTTAGTCGATGTTTTACTCCTGGTGAGAAACGACTTTTCAGAGCCATTAAACAGCAATCTGAGAACACCAGACTTTCACATCGCGTTAGCTCCAACTTCCTCCACAAACCGCCTCTGGGCTTTGCTTTTACTGTAAATTATTTTGGTCTAAACACGAGTAAAAAAGTGAGGAATGACTTCAGGAAATGAATTATTTAACCTGTGTCCAAACCTGATTTGTGTGTGTGTGTTAAATCAGTGGAAACACAAGCAGCAGAGCGTCAATGTACTTACAGTGTGTATATCTGATAGCACTTACAGGACTCTCTGCCAGGACAGATGGCTCTCTGCGGTTTGTAAAGAAGTTGTGGTTAGTGCACGCTCATGCATTTGTGTCGCTCTGTACGTGTGTGCCTGCGTGTGTGTGTTTGTTTGCCTGGTGTAAACATATTGCAAACACTCACACTGCATTTACGAGCAGGTTTAAACCCAGCGCGTCTCCCTGCAGTGGCTCTTGTTTCAAAAACAGCCTCTAAAGTGTTTACCAAGCACACACTTAACAGAGGCACCTGACGCCAAAAGCCCCGAGAAACACTGTCAGATGGAGTTCAGCTTCTAATGTGAGAGCCACATAACCACGTTAGCATGGGTTCTGCGCTCAATAGCTCTCCACGTGGAGTGACATTAGCTCATTAGAGGGGAAAATAAAGAGCAGGCGGATGGAACTCCATCTTCAAAATTAAATGTTTGGTCTAAAACCTCCATCTATGCCTCTCCGTGTTCAACATCTGAACTGAGCGATCTACCGGAGAAAAGTGTTGTCGAATCACTTTACTGGAAACTGAGGAAATCCGTGTTCAACATCTGAACTGAGCGTAAAAAAAAAAGTAAATGTGACGCACGGTTTCCTGTCGTGTCAGCCTTTTCAGTAATGATTTTTTTTAAATTACAAAACACAAATATTTCAAAAGTACTCTCATTGTTCATAAGTACAATAAAAATACAAGATAAAATTAGTTGAAATTATGAAAAATATTAACCAATTTCTCGACCAGAAGCTTATTTTTATGAGTGCAACAATTTGCTATAACCTCCCCAAAAGACAAGAAATAAAAGCCATATATGAGGTAAGGATAAATAAAAATTTGGCAACACTAGACTAAGAAATGGCAAAATATTCAATATTTGAAGACAGTCCAATTTAATCTACTAAAGTATTAAAATTCAAAAAAGACTTCAGCCGGAGTTTAGATCCCAGTGTTTTTAAACACGACCACATGTTTCTCCTTCTAAGGAAGTCTTTTAAATTTGTCAGTGAGATCAGAATCCTCTGTGGTTCCACTTCGTCGTATTCCAGACCACACTCGTCCAGGATGGGTCCCTGGGTTCCTCACAGGAAGTGTTCAGTGGAGAGACGTATGGAGGCAAACCCTGCTTCCCATCAACCACCTCATTAGTCCCCCTCAGCCATAAAGCCGTCCCATCAGGCCGCGCTGTCATAACTCACTTTACAGCATTGATTTTAATCACAGCAAATGTAAACATACGTATTATCAATATCAATGTACAAAATAAGGATGTAATATGCAATTACCTGCTGCCATTGATTTTTCTTTTCCTCCCCTCTCCTCCTTTTTTTACCCCTCCCTTCCCGTCTCTTCTCCTCCTCCTTCCATTTAAATATAATCATAGGATCGTCCCAGTCTGGAACTGATTTAATAAGGCTGTTATATGAATACATATATACACTTTATATATATGTGTCATGAAGACAGGCATGGGCTGAACAACACAAAGATGGTTTTTAATAAATAGTGTGAGGCCTGGAGGGAGGTGAAGGCAGGACACAGACGTCGCTCTCCTGATGATGCTACATCTGTTGTTAGCCTGTTAGCTCGGCAATGTAGCATTAGCTTGTGAGTGGGATGTTCCTCTCCTATTCTCCGTGTTCAAAATGATAGGCGGTAAAACCAGAAGTATACGAGCTGACTGGCTGGGCTGACCTGTCAATCAATGTGGGTCTGATTTTGACCTTTAACACTGTGAAGTGACCCCTGACCCATTATGTCTGGCTGGTTTCTTAACTGTCTTTTTGTGTAGCACCTTTGGAAAAGATGGAAAAACAAAAGGCTGTAAAAGACCAGACTGGTAGACCAGGGAGGAAAGGAGAGGAGGATGAAGAGGAGGAGAGGAACCGAGGTGTTAAAGGAATGAAGCAGCTAGCTGAAGAGATGATGAACTACATCACAGATGCAGTTTTTATTCCATCCATACATCTCTGCCTGGCTCACAACACAAAGCCCGCACTTATAGAACGCCACCAATCCATAACCATAACGCCAGCGTGGCAGCGTGGAATATGTATCAGAACATTCTGTCTGTATCATCAGGCTCCGTGCACACATCACGCCGTCGACTGATGCCGTGAACATTTAAACACATGCTCACGTCACATCTTTACTTTCATTATCAGAGTACATGAAGAGAAGAATCCGGAAGATTCATTTATTGGCATTCTCATTTTCTCATCATCAATCACAGCCGTGCTTCAATTTTTAATCTGTGCACCAGGGGGGTGTATTAAAAACGTAAACACTAATTAACTACAAAATGATAAATGAGGAGTCAAAGAGGTTCTCCTCTCTCCTCTTCTCCCCTCTGCTCTCCTCCTCTTCTTCCCTTTACTTTTTCACTTTCTAACTCTCAACACACACATCAAAAGCCTATTCCCATCATGCTTTGTTCCTCTTCCAGTTCCATTCAGAAGTGTTCTAATAAGGACAAACTGCTCCCCGGTCGAGTCACAATGGCTTCGTCGACTCCAAAAAAAGAACTGAAATGAGCGAGTGGAAATGTGAGGGGCAGGTGAGGTCAGCCCCCGGGCATCAATTCTCTTATTACCACACACACACACACACACACACACACACACACACAAATGAATATTCCACACTGAGGCGTCTCAGACGCGTAACAGTGACAGCAGCCATCTCTCTGACCATTTCTCTCTTCTAATGCAGTCCTTTAAATCTCTCTCTCAAACACACACACACACACACACTCATCTCCTGGTATTATCATCTGAATAGCCAGCAGGTGATGGGATGCCTGACCAGGGATCAAATTGAGAAAATGTATTAGTAAAGCTGGAATAACTGACCGCTAACCTTATTAGCATATCCTTGGCAAAGGCAGGCAAACGGTAATGCATTTATGCACTGCTTTATTTATGTTGACAAGACGGGCCCTGTACCAACTTCTTATTTCTATATATTTTTAATAAACAACAGAAAACGGTCACATGATTCCTTTGTATATATTTAAATCTACTAAAATGTAAGGTTTAAATTTGTACCTGTATTTTCTTTCAGGCTGGAGAACAGAAGACCAGAAGGTGTCAAAGGTCAACATTGGAAGGTTCCTCAGTTACATCTGGATATAAAGACTCAGTATAAGGGAGTGTCCAACAAAGGTGGAGGTCTGTCATCAGTGGTCAAAGAAACATCTGTTAACATACAAGACCATTTTTTGTGCCTTCCACCTTTTCAGGGGAAGCTGCACAGATGCGTCCAGCAGATGACGCAGTTCTCTGCAGGAGGAATCCCAGCCTTTCATTTGTCTAAATAATCATATCATGTAATTCTCCTGACAAAACCTTTTACCCCTCCATTTAGCTTCATTTAGCATTCATGAGCCGGTTATTTGGGAGCCATCGCTGCTTGTTCTGCTCATTCTGTTTTCATCAAACCATTTTTGTGCACTTGTCTGAGTTAAATGTATTTTATTTAATGGCATCTTTGTATTTAAGGCAATTATTTGACAAAACTCTGTTAGTGTTTGTGCATATGTTCTGCTTTCCTTGTTGTCTGCTGTACTTTCATGACACCTGAAATATATCTCCAGTGAATTCCACCTTTACCTAAAAAATCATCATGTCTTAAAGGATGAATTTTATAACAAATTTAAATTTATTTCTGCACCAAATGCTGCATATTTATAACATTTCGGTATATACCATTTTTTTCTTATTTTATTTGTGATCGTATAATTTTAATTGCACAAACCTGACTTTACCTCTGGGAAAGAATTCTACCTCAAACAATTATTTATGTTAAATTCAAGTGGACGCAAAAAATCTGCTTTGGAAATGTTTTTTGTCTTACTGTGGTCTAGTAGTTAAACCTAATACACTATAATGTCTAACTTTTGTTGAAATCGAACTTTCCAGTTGTAGGTGTATGTCCTCCAAGCTCGTCCTGTGCTGATTATGACTCGGAAAATACTGTCTGAAAATCAGTGCACAGCACAAAGACACAGTCAGCGCCAACTGGACCTTTTTAAAACCAAAGACACGTCTGGGTGTACATTACTGCCAGCCTTGAAAGTCTCTTTCCGTTGCTCTTGGTGAGTGTCTGCCTTCTCCGTGTCTGTGCTGGTCACTCACTCTGTTCTCCCTCTCTTTCTCATCTTGTTTCCTCAGAGGAGTGCTAGTGAGCGGCGGAGGAATCATACAGCCATCAAAGGTTGCAAGCTGTAGGAAATGTCTTCATTTGCAACGAGCCGGCCTGACACCTGAGCTCCAGGCTGCTTTGTACCACTGTGTCGCTGCCTGCTTACATCCTCGTGTGTGTATATGTGTGTGTGTGTGTGTGACTGATAGTCAGCCATCCCAGCTCCCCAGCAGGTCCCACTTTAAATTGTCTGTGTGTGTTTTATAGCTGTGTGTGTGTGTGTGTGTGTGGGCCTGCGCCCCATCCATCAGTGTTAAGATGGCACATTACTGTTAATGAATGATATTTGTGTTCAGCGTGTATGTCAGGAGGGAGGACCAGGGAAGCAAAAACAAGCCCTCCCCAATCACCTCACCTTCAGCCTCCTCATTTTCTTTGTCACTCTCTTGCCTGTTTTGCATTTTCTGAATTTCCTCAGCTGAGTCTCAGACCAAAAACCGTACATTTACTGTTTTTCCATCTAGAGTTGAAGGTTAGCTATTTATGCACTGAGTGGGGTTTTTACTATTATCCTCAGACCACCCTCTGGGTTATGTAAGTGAGCGCACCCACCTTCTATACGTGACATTGTTCTGGAGTTCTTGAACAATGGCAAATATGAAAACTATGGATTTTCTTATTGGATGACATTTTTTTCTGTGCAAAAGGTGAAATTACCTTTACCTTCACAAATTAATAGTTTGTGAAAAAATATAAGGTGATCCTTATCATGACCCTCCCCTCAACCAACCATAGTTGTGTACAACCAATGTGTATCAATCATGTCTTTGAAATTTGTTACACGTTGTGTACAACCAATGTGTATCAATCACGTCTTTGAAATTTGTTATACTTTAAAAAAAAAAGAAAGAAAGAAACGAATTGGAGTTTGTAGATACAGTAAAGAAAAACAACCACAACAGAAATATTAATTAATCATTTATTTTATTAATCACACCTCAGTGCCTAATTTAAAACTTACATGTATAAATAAACCAAATACCTTATATATTATTATTTATTATTTTATAGAAAATTGCAAATACTGAAATACATTTAAACAAGTCTTAGATAGGAGTAATGAGAGTGTGGATTTTTAACCATAAACTCATACAGGCTCTACATATAAAATCGTTTTCTTAGTAGCTCGGCTAAGCTAAGGCTAACCCACTTTTTTAAACTGTCTGTGCCTCAAATGTTGACTTACTATCACTTACTGGGTTGTCTTTTCAACAATGTTTTTCAAAATTGACTTTATGCTGTAATTTGTATTAGTTTGTCAAAAATAACGTTGTTTTTACATATTTTAATTTTTATATTTTCATAAACGATCACATAAAGCTATTTAAAAGTCACATGGTGACGGGACATTGTCACGTGACTACAAATGACGCGGGAGTTGCTGGTCTCGCAAGTCCAGTGTTAACAACAACGTCAACAACGTCGAAACGCCCCTAGCTAACCGTCATACGAATTAACGAGACACCTAGACAAAAGACAGGTGAGTCCATTATTAATATTTATATAGACACAGTAAAAACGTTACGTATGTTGTGCAAAAATGAAATTGTGGTTTTGTCTCAGAACCTTTGGTTTGTGACCATATTCGCTGCGTCTGTTTGTCCACTGTGTACTGCTAACGGATGCTAGCTTTTCGTGACGCTTTCGGTTGTTTTGGTTTTGGCAGTAGAGACGTACACATTACTACTTTTTTTTAGTGTTTTTTTTATTTATTTTAATTAATGTATCAAATAACACTTGTGTCCAAACTGAAATATGGTATATATTAATATTATAAATATTATTATTATTATTATTATTATTATAAAAATTGTATTGCGTTTTCATGCTATTTCTGAAACTAGCAGCAGTCTGTACTTTAGTAAAGCTCCATCATTTGGCTTTAAAGTAAAGATTCCAGGTGTCAAACACCAGTCAGGGAAGAAGCCCATAATCCACTGCTCACACACTGTTATGAGTCTGAGTGCTGCTGCAGTACAGAGGGCTCACTGTGGCTGTCAGTGATGTACAGAAAGAGCTACACTTAACCTCCACTGTACTTCAGATTAGAAACAATTAAATTATTTAGAAAATCAATATTCAGACATTTCATATATATATATTTTATTATTCTCTCACTTCATGACTTTATGTTGCTCTTTAAAGGGAGAATTGCTGACTGATTTTTTTCCTTTAACGCCTGCAGCAGCATTAACATGCATGGATGGATGGATGGATGGCTGAACAGACATGTTTTTCCCAGTGTCAGGCAGGGTGATGGCGCTCTGTCACCCAGTCCCCCAGTAGATGTCACTCACTCATTAGTGAATGATGTGAGAGCGGTCGGGTCCTGACAGCAGAGTCAGAACATGCACTGAACATATTAGCTCCTGACTGAATGTAAGAACAGCACTCAACACGTTTAAAAGACAGTTTTGTTTTAAATGGTACAAACTGTAATTGCAGGAAATGTATATATATATTTTAAAATTGGTGATAGAAGTGAAAAGGACATTTGTTACAGTTCAACAAGTCAAACATTTGTCCATTCATACTGTAAACAAGTTTTTTATCTACTGTATTCAGATCTGTCTCATTCAGTCCTGCTTGTAGTTTCAAAAGTGACAGCAGTTCTTTTGTAAAGCTGAAATTTCCTGAAAACATTCTGACGCTGAGGAAATCTTTAAAAAAAATCTAAAGGAAATTTAGGATGCACCTGAATAAATCACTGAGTGAGACTCGGGTATCTTTATCAGACCAAAACAGGTATTATTACTGGACAACACATATAAACCAAAACTAAAGAGTCATTTAAAAATATATATACCAGTAGATAATAAATTAAACATCAGAAACATATCAAAATAAGTTATTTATTTACTCAGAATAAGGCTTTGACCCTTTTGACGTCCTAGAAAGTGAACTATGATTTGGCCCTATCTGTGGAAGCTGCTATGAGAAAATTCCTGCGAGAAAAAGCATTTTATCACTTTCTACCTTACTGTCCAAAATAACAAATAAAAGAAAGACAGGAAAACCAAATGACAGCAGGAGGAAATGAGAGACGGCCAATGCCGTCAAATAAATTTTAACACCAGCGTCATTGTCTGGAATTAACACATGGGATGTGTCGTGTCACTGCCGTGAACCTAGAGTTTAACCCCCTCAAGGTTCGTGTCCTGCTCAGTCCGGCTGCGTTCACAGGATTCACCTTGACCAGCGTCCACAAGCTGGGTTAATGTGTCGGACAGGAAGTGGACTTTTAGTCACCATTGTGCTGTTTCCTAAAATCACAGTGAGAAGTTCATGAGCTCCACAGAAGAGCTGAAGAATGAGAAGATGACTGTAGAAGGATGGGAGGGTAAAGGGTAAAGAGGGGGTAAAAACTAGGGGAGGAGAGATGCTTTGGGGTGTAGGGGAGATAGTGGGGACCTCACTGAATGGATGTTGTCATGGCTGAAGTGAAGGAAAGGGACAGAGTTGAGAATATTACTGTGTGTCTGTGAAGGTTTGGAGCTCAACTTCTGAGAAGGTGGTTCAGAACTGGAGCCTCTCCATCAGGTCGTCCAAGTAGGATGTAGAGGTTTTATCCAGTGCTCATTGAGCAAACTCCATGTCTTCTTCTTTGGCATCTCCAGATTGATTGACAGTTAGCCATAAAACAGCCTCCAGATGGCTGTGCTTCAAGTGTTCCGACACACGGGCCAATGCTGCTAAAGCTCGAGCCAGAGACTCTGAAAGGTCAGGGGGGATGCTGGAGCTGATCCCAGCTGACATTGGACAAACTGTGGACACATCAGCGGTCCAAGTGAGGGGAAATACCAGTAGATCAGCAGGTTCTGAAAAATGTAGACAGGAACGTCTGGCACTTTTAAAACTCACCAGTTTCAAAATCAGTTTCGAAACTGATTTAAATATTTGCATCAATAGAGAGTTGAGCTAAAATTGAAATGACATTTCAGGTTAACATTTTAACCTGATTAATATCACAAAAACTAAGTTAATGTTCCCATCCGTGTTTCAAATCTTTGTTGCTTCTGTAATCAGCTGAGTCAGAGGTGATCTGACTGCCGTGAACTTCCAGGATTTTTCTTCAAATTTTTCACACAAGAGCAGGATGTTGTTTCTCTGCTGTGACCAAGAACAGAAGGCAGGTTGTAGTTTTGTTCTCTCTCTGTCGTGTCAGGTCCTGTTTTGTTTTTTTGTTTTTTTTCCCTCCTGGGACTGACTGTGTGTAGTTCAATGGTCAGGAAGTAGCAGAGTCAGAAACAGGAAGCAGGAAGTTATTAGCAGGGATGATGTGAAGACAGTGGACTCTGGAGTACATCAAGAGAACAACAACAGACCACAGCACTGCACCTGGGAGTGTGTTTGTGTGAATCAAAGGAGGCAGAGGGGAAACATGACAGACAGAAAGACGGAAGACAGACAGACAGACAGGTCTGTGCTGTCCCAAAACCACCGAGACACTTGGATTAATCTCTCTCTCTCTCTCTGTCTCTCTCTCTCTCTCTCTCTGTACGTGTGTGTGTGAAGCCAGGCTGAACCTCGGTGATTATTCTGACACCTGCAGTATCACAGACAACGTTTCCTGAAAACATCCTGACACTGAGGTAATCTTTAGAAAAAATAAAGGATATCAAGGATGCACCTGAATAAATCTCTGTGTGTGTCTGTGTGTGTGCAGAGGTGAGGTGAACTTTAAACATCTTGTGAAATATCAAATGACATTTACTTCATTATAAACCTTTCACAGATGGTTTTGTTTACAATATTTTTATTGCTGTGAAAGTTAAAAATGTAATACTTGTATACACTGTTGTTCTGATACTGATACCAGTATTGCTTTCGACACTAGGTTCAATACTTCATTCAAATTCTCAAATCATGTGCCAGTCCAGTCACCTGATCCTGGCCGTAGGAGTGGACAGTAGACAGAAATAAACCGGTGATGTCATCAGTGCTGGAGTTGAGCACTGTTGTTCTGATACTGATGGTGTTTTTTTTTTTTCATTGGCCTCTAGTTGTCGTCTAACTTTCTGAGTCATGAGCCTGACACACACCAACACACACTTTTATATGGCTTCTGTGTTTTCCCACTTTCTGTAAATAGCGCTCCATCAGGCAGGTGCTTCCCATGACAGCGATGGGAAAGCAGGACCTGCCTCTAATAGCCTTTGTGTGTGTGTGTGTGTGTGAGTTGCCAGATGTGGGCTACCTGCCAGCAGTGCAACTGTGTTCCTCTGACTTGGTGTGTTGTTTATCATTTTGTGCCTTCCCGTCGACACGTGTCAGACTGTAACGTTGGACAGAAGGAGCTGAGAGCCTTAAATCAGAGCAGAGCTGTGATTCAGGAAACAGTTGTTTAACGTAAGGAAATCCCTCGCATTAGGCCCAACATGTCTTCTCCACTGAGAGAGTGGACTAAGTCAAAATGTTCTAAGACAAGGTGTTTTTTTTAAGTGTTTCTCTCCATTTTCTTGTCATTTGTACTTCTGTGGTTTTCCCATCACAGAATTCCTGCTTTGTAGATATATACTGATCACTGGCTGGTTGATTGATTATATCTGTAATTTCTGCTTGTTTCTAGTAGTAGGTAGTGTGTGTTTTCAGACCAGAACAAAAACTCTAACCCTTATTTGTCATGTTTAACCTTGAGATGACCCAAATGCAGGCTCAGACAACGTAAGGAGAAACACAAGGATTTATTTTTCAAGCGCCCTTCCAAAGTAATCACAATAGTTATAGTCAAATCGAAATTAGTGTTCGTCTCCACTGCAGCAGAACAGACGATCTGACGACTAGTGGGAGGAATGCCAGGGCTCTTATGCTGTCGGACTGATAGGCTGATTGGTGGCAGGTGCTGAGGAACGGCATGTGTGCCACGGCGATTAGTCCGGCAGAGTCCGAGAGATGTGCCACGCCCCCTACACAGAGAGAAAGTACACAACACAAGAAAACACAGGAAAACACAGGAAATGACAGTCCCGACTGTCATCGTGACATTATTTCCTTATACAAAGTGTGACATGCAATATAAGTATGATAAAGAAATATTTGCTTGTTTTCCTGCATCACCGGGAAAAAAATTATATCATGGTTATTGAAGGTTTTTATTTTTTCTAAGTTGCTCTTGGTTTTAACAACCGGGATAGACTGATCACAGACAGTCTTGTTGTCTCTCTGTCCCTCCGTCTTTCTCTCTTTCTTCCCTCCATCCATCTGCTCTAATCCTGACGGTGTTAATTGAAAGTCAGGAGAGGGCACCCTTGCGGTTTCATTATTAATTTAACACTCAGGGTAACTTAAAGTGCAATTTTCACCCACATGTGGAACAAAAAAATCAATGGCCACAACAGCAGCGGGTATCAAGACTGATTACTGATGCAGAAAGAGGCAAGACACCGGCTACTTGAAAAGAGAAAGTGTGTGTGTGTGTCTGGGTGGTTTTAGCTAAGTGTTTCAGATGCGTCCACCCTGTGTTGACACCTCTTTCTGTAACACAAAGCAGCGAGTAAACACAAAGACGTTATCAGCTGATTAAAAATGACAGCTGATCCTGCTGTGGCTGTTCTCTCCCCCTCTCCTCTCCTCTCCTGTCCTCTTCTTCTGTCCTTTTTTTTTCTCTCCTCTCCTCATCTCCTTTTCTCCTCCTCTCCTCTCTCTGTCTCCATCCATCACACTCAGACAAATACATGCTGTGAAATTATGCCTGTTTGCCTTTTGTGTGTATTTTTTTAACATTTAATTGTGAACATACATGACTCCACGTCTTATTACCCCTGGCTGCTCTTCGTTGGTGGGTCTCCCGTCTCTCCCCCCATGCTGAAGATTAAATAGGGGGAAATAAAGGTATATTGCTCAGTAATGCAATCTGTCCTCCGATTTGAGAGATGAGCAGTCTGCCCTTTGCGCTGAGCGGACTCACAGATGATTTAGAGCAAGCAGATGGAAAATTCTAATATGTTAGCCTAACCCCGAATGGCTGCGAGCTAATTTATTTCAAACCCTGTGCAAGAATTACACTTCTTTCCTTGAATGCTTCCTACAGCCCCACCGCCCCCCCAGCTTCCCATTCTGTCGTCTCTTTTTCCTTTGTATGTTAAATTTAAAATATAGCCAATATATTAATATATTTCTTTTATTTTCTAATTTTAACCTTTGTTTAATCTGACCTATGGGACCTGTCTGTGACAGCGTGGTATTTAAGGAAATACAGACCTTTAGATTACAAGAGAACGTTCAAGCAAAAGAAGTAAAAAAAAAAACATTTAGAGTTGAAACGCTTTAAGGGCAGGGTTCATTTGAAGAAAAAGAATGCAGAAGGTCCTGGGTTTGAGCCCCAGAGGAACCACGTATTTGGTGCCTTTTGTTCTGCAGCCTGTTTAAGCAGATCTGCTCTAAACACAACAATTTCCCCAGTGTGGTATCAATAAAGTTCTCATTATCATTCTCATTATTATTATTGTTATTATTATTATTATTAGTCCTGTGGAAGTAACACATCCTTTAGGAGGGAGGGAATTTAGGGCTTGCTCAACATATTAAAGCTAGGTGGGATTGGAACTTGTCGTCCTCTTACAACAGGTGCCCACAAAAGGGAGAGAAAAATACTCTTTAGACAACCTGACTGAGACTCGAATCCACGCCGCAGCAGTAGTGTAAGCTCCAACCAGCAGCGTGTGAACCCCCCTGCCCCCCAGGCCCATCCTCTCTGATGTATGTCTGCACTTTATTTTAGGCAATTTAAAGTGCTTTGCACGTTAATTCGCTTATTCAAATTTATGACCGGGATGTTATGCAGATAATGCTGAATTACCTCTGGACTGGAGACCAGTAAAAGTCCTGGTTCCTCTGCCCGCATGTAAAATCTGCAGAAATATTCAACAGTAAGAAAACGTCAATACGTTTTGAACAGGCGTAGGTCAGGGAAACCACACAGTCACATGCAGGGACACGTTTAAAGACACGATTACGCTGTTGATTAAGACGAAACACTCTCAGAGAGACATGCAGATAACCCACAACTTTGCCCCCTCCCTCTCCCATGGCATCTCCCTAGATGAAGTATTTGGATGTGATCGCCCTTAAGTGGACACGTCTGCCTTGATAAACACTTTATGCAGATCAGTTTCTACTTGTTTTTCCTTTTCTTGAGAGAGGGAGCGAGAAAGAGAGAAATAATACCTCACTAATTGACCCATTTGGCTGCTCCTCTGCCCACAGGAGGGGGCTGCGGCTTTTAATGTTTGATCGGCCTAATTTCCCCAGCACATCATTAGTGGCCATCTTCAGGCCCGACTCTTAATAACCTCTTTATGAGGTGAATGGATGCCGTTAAAAGTCTTTGTCTCTCTCTCCGCAGGTCCAGCGACCCTCCTCGTCTTTCTAATTAAGTCCGATGTTTCAAAAATATGCTAATGGCGTCTGAACCTGTTTGAATGGAATGAGCAAGCATCTCCAGGAACTCTGTTGCCATTTACATAATTTCATTATCAGGTAAAACACACTAATTGTGGAGTGCGGGGTGTTTGTGTGTGTGGGAGTGCATGCAGCGGGTGAGCCAGCGCTGCCTTGGCAGAAATGCAGCACTAATTACAAAGCGAGTGGCAGCGCTCCAGAGCAAGGGGTGTGTAAAAGCAACAAGCCATTTACACACAGACTAATAGATTCCTAAACACCGGCTCGGCCATTCCTGCAGTGGAGGGCAACATTTCCAGAGCTGAGCTAATGTTTTATTACTCATTGTATCCTAATAATAGGTCAGTGCTTACAGTCTAATGTGTGAAGAAACAAACCACTTATTTCCATTCATTTAGCGTTAGCAGAAGCTTCATATGCACTTTATGAGGCAATTAACGTTGACAGAATCATAGCAAGAGTCATGGTTTCTAATTTGGACTCTGTGCTCTTAGTGGTTCAAATCAACTGGATGTGAAGGAAAGACAAAAAAATCAAATAAAATACGGTAAGCATGTTGACAAAACCTTGTCCATGCAACATTGTAGGTGTCAGAGGTTGTGTGCATGGACAGGTGTAGTTCTCCTTGATTCCTGTATATATGGCCTAAAAAAACATTGAAAACCTCTGTTGTTGAAGAAGTATTTGAATCCTGGCTCCTTGGAAAAAGTTTAAGCCCTTCTGTCTTAGCGGTTTTTTATCAGCAGAGTGTGAAAGGGGGAAAAAAACCCAAAATAACTTCACTGACAGATCTTTTCCTGCCTCCACAGAGAGCAGCCACTGTTAATGACTGTGGTCCTGCATATAGACTTGTCTGCATGTCTATATAGGTCTGAATCAGGAGGTCTACTAAAAGCTGATCTAAACAAGAACTCTGTATCTGATTGTGTCTGTGTGGTCAGTGGCCAGCTAATGACAGCATGTTGACATCCTGCTTGTTTTCCTCCTACATCTGTGTGTGTGTGTGTGAGAAACATGTGTTTCCTTTGTCGTGCCTCCTGCGGTGTTTGTGTCCAGATCAACTGCAGCTGTGGTTGCCTGTCCCTGTATCACGCTATCAAACTTCCCTTCCATGGAAAACAACATAATCATCCCGTTCCTTTTTTTTTTTTTAAACAAAAACACTCAGCTGATGAGCACTGACAGACGCACCAGGACACAGCTGTGTGCAGGAGTGACGCCCACGCCAGAAACTTCACAGACCAAACAATAAGACCGAGAAACTGAGGGACATGTTCAGAGGAAGCATGGCTCATTCGTTAGCTGCTAGCCTTGAAAGTAAAAGATGATAGGCAATGGGTTAGGGATGGCAAACAAACCCTTGGCTGGTAAACAAGAGTCAGGTGATTGTTGACGGTAAAATACTGCATATTCAGCTACTGTATAATATTATAAAATTAATTCCATCGTTCCATCCTAGTGGCTCTTCATCCTGGATCTGTCATCCAGGATGAAGGTGTTTGATGTTTATAGGTGGTTCAAATGTTGCCTTGACCTTTTGTCAGACACAATAACTGTACAAAAATAACTTGAGCCAGTTTTTTTCAGATCAACCAGGTCACCAAATAGGTCCTTTGCTGTAAGATGTATGAGTAAAAGTTGGTGGGGAAATCTAGGAAATCTATCAAAGTTATTTTAACGACCTTTGTGATGGTTATCAGAGTTACAGATGTCACTGCTGTTCCGACTTTTCGTGCAAACACAACCGAGTTGGACCCTGACTCTGGGCAGAGAACAGTGCTGATACTTTTCAGCACTGGCGTCTCCTCAGAGAGAGTCAATAGAATTCATTCCAAGTGATCACTGAACTTAGTCCATATTCAGTCATTTGCACTCGGCAAGTCTCATTACGGTCAGAATAAGGTGGACTGCTCTCAGGAAAATGACTCATTGGGAACCAGTAAAATTACCCTAACAGGTTGGCAGCCTTTCCTACTTTCATCCCGTTCCTAAGATAGATACCATTCTCACACACACACACACACACACTCTGCGTCTTTGGCTTCCTTCTTTCACACCACAGCTTGACACCACATAGCTCTTCATCAGGTCCTGGCCGTCGGGGCCTCATGCATGTGCAGACGATTACCTTGTCCCCTGATTGCCACCGTACAGAGAGGGGGAGGAAGGGTTCTTACAAATTAGTGGATAAATAGATACCCCCCCCATCACTACGACCATTCTCCCCACAACGCCGCTCCACCTATCCACCCTGTGCCTAATGACGGGGGTTGGGGAGCGGTAATGAAAAACTATACATCACAATCAGCCGGACAGTCCTATTCATGGCTATGCATTATGCTCACTAGTCATAATCATCTCCGCCGTGACAGAGGGAGAAATGTGAAAGGAGGGAAGACGGAAGAAAAGGAGGTGAGGTGGAGAGAAGAGCGGAGAGTGTGATAGAAGAGGAGAGGCTGTGAAATGGCCTGGAGAGGAGCAGGAATCATGGAACTACGGCCTGGAAAAGGAAGGAAGTGGAAGAAGAGAGTGGAAAGGAGGGATGGCGAGGAGGAGAAGTAGTCGGAATGAAAGTCAATCTGCGAACTACAGGTGCAGGCCCTTTTTATCCGCACTCTTTTTAAGTATTACTCCAGTAATGAATGCACTCTGCAGCAGTGTGTTACTGCACCACCGTGGTGGCGTTACCTCACTGAGAGAGAATTATGTCTACGCAGAAATACAACACCGGCAAAATCACATTACCTGAAAATAGTGTGAATGTACTGCAGCTGTTGTGAAAATGGCTTTTAAGCTACTTACGCACTGAAGAAGCCGGTCGCAGTGTTTTTTATGATAAAGAAATGACCACAGTCAGGTGTGAAGGACCACGGTGTTGCCCTGGTGTGTTATGTGTCTGTTGCTTCAATCTCAAAGCTTTGTAAAAATGCCAAAAAAAAAACTAAAAAGTTGGATGTAAATTTACAAAGGCCAATGAAAACATTTCCTGTATCTTAACTGGTAGCATGTTTGTGTGTCACAGTTCTCATGTTAAGCACAATTAATACTAAGCTATTTAATTCCTTCATATATTATTTTTTCTATTTGTAATGTGCAAACTGTTTAAAAAAAAGTCACCCAAAAATTTGATGATTGCCCATGAGGGTAGTACCTTTAGGGACGCCATACAGACCTCAAACCCCCTAGTGAGACCACTGCCACCAAAGTGACAGAGTAAGTCAACTGGGGAGTTAATGAGAAGACTTTGTTAAAATAATAAAATAGTATAAAAAAAAAAGTATAGCAGCAGCTCAGTTCCATTTCTTTTCCCTGCAGAAGTAATTTAATGAACAACACTCAAACAACGTAATCAGACAAAAGACCTCTTTTCCAGGACGTCTGTGAGAGACGGCGTCTTTGTGGCTCGTTAACTGCAACATCTCTCCGTCTTATTTGGCAGCAACCACATGCTGAGCATCTTCTCCTTGGTCTTAAGACAGTTAGCTGTAAATGGTTCTGTCTTTGTGTATGTGTTGGTCTGTTTGAGGTAAAAACAAAAAGAAATGGTTCAGTGTGTAGGTGTATTCACACGGGCTACGGTGCAGGCATTTGTTTTGGATAAGAAAAAGAGGAAGAGGAAAAAAGGGAACAATCTCCATGCACACACACACACACACACACCCTCACCCAGAATCCTGTGGGGGAGCTTTGTATTAGGACAAAACTGTGTAATAAAAGTCAGATCACATAATCACTTTGACTTCAGTGTCGCTAAAATACCCTGGAGACAAATAACAAGGCTCTCCGATCAAGCATGTTGGGCCCGTAACAATCTCCATGCACACACACACACACACACACCAGAGAGAATGTGTAATAGTGTGTGTTTGTGTCAGAGATGGAAAAAAAAAGAAATGAAAATGAAGAAACATTTGTATCTTACACACACACACACACACCTTTCTTTGTTGGCCTGTTTTTATTGAGTGGTAGTTTACAAACCACCAAATGCCAAATGTCACTGCTGCTGTTAGTCCTATACAGGCTCTCCTAATGAGACCATACTTCACACACACACACACACACATGCCTGCTCTCTCTCTCTTTCTCTCTCTCTCCTACAAATGCTCGTACATGTGTGTTTACATGCACATCTCCACTTGGATACTAATGTATTTGAAAGACATTCACATTTGAATATTTGTGTGTGTGTGTGTGTCACCCCTGACCTTGGCCTCACCAGCATCTCATTCCATCTCATTAAATATGTATATCTTATCACGCAGCCTCCTCACTCACTCACACACACACTGGTGTGTTCTGTTCCCCTGCAGTTAATCCAGACGGGCAGTAGGGGACCAGATGTGAGGAAGAGGTCTGAGTTGCTAATTGGTCAACAAGAGCACAAAGGTAGGGAAGCAGTGACTTTGGTTAATTTAAAGAATGTAATGACCTTGATGACGTTTCTGCAGGTTTGTTTTTCATGAGTACTTGAATGTAGTCATTCAGTTGTATTGTTTAGTTGTGTTTCATCCACATGTTTCATATCATTTGGGATGTGGCCTCTCCCTGATCACCAAGATCATGAACCTCAGTGGGACGTCATGGTTAAACAAAGGCATGAAATAAGATGTAATGACGTTTCCCAGGGCTTGGAGAAATAATTGTTTTAATTTCATTTTTATTTTATTTCAATGTAATTAGAAGTCAATCGAAAATCCATGATGAATTATTAAAAAAACAAAACCCAAAACATTGATATCCATACTGTCAACAATCAGCTGGTTGAACCAATCAGGTTGTGAGATGTCATGTAGATTCATTAACCAATTGGGAGAGCCATGATGAATTATTAAAAAAACAAAACAAAACATTGATATCAGATTCATTAACCAATTGGGAGCAATTTAGAGGAGGAATAGAAACTTTGCTCTGACTTTCCAGGACCCTCCAGGGGGCTGATCATCTGCCTTCATCTACTTAAATCTGTGATGAATTAAACAGAAGTTTGTTTCACTCTAAAACCTTTTAGAAAGAAGAGAACAATGTCCACTGTGGTTAATTCTCTCTCTCTCTCTCTCTATGTTGTCCATCTCCACTGTGGTTAATTCTCTCTCTCTCTGTATGTTGTCTATTTATCTCGCTCTGTCTCTCTTAGTCTTTTGTGTACAGTGAGTCTTGATCCAATCTGGTCCTAATGAGAGTGATGTTCTACAGTGATAAAACATGGCTGTGGCCTCCTGTAAAACACTGAGCATCCCTGCCTTTAATTATCGACCAGACTCGGAAGAGGAGGCGGGGGCCGCAGAGGGAGAGGGGCAGCTGGAGGGGCTTACAAGGTGAGAAAACATTTCAGTGACCACCGCTGTGCTGTAGTCAATCAATGATGCACAGCAGATGCTGCTCAGAGAACATGCAGCCCCACAGCGGAGCACTCCATGTGGTGGGTTAACTTCACTGTTAAGTGTTGGGAATATTGATGCTAAAGTTTATCAGCAGATCCTCAGAAGATCCAGTCCTCACTCTCAACCTGCCACTGCACACGCCGATCTTTTGGCAGAACATCTGGAGCGCCTAATCTGCCTGTAATGAAGCCAACATCGGCCGCCGTGGTCCCGACATATGTCGCTATTAAAAAACTGCTCATTGTGGTTTATAACGGCAGTTTGTGACAAATGTTCCGACAGCTGTCACAGCGTAGACCGAGCTGCTCCCACTGAACACAGCTGACCAAATTCTATGATTTGCCAGTGCTTCTGTATGTGGCTGATGCTGAAACGTCTCCATGTCAGATAGTCTGGGAAAAAAGATGAAAATCTAAGTTTGGCCTCAGGTTAAAATTGGGTTTAATTCCCGTCAGTCTGAGGTGAAGGAAGGCTACGTCAGCCTGATGTATAAAAAGCTTTGCTATTTTTTACATATAGCAGATACACTTGTTAGCTGTGATGTTTAGACTGTTGGAATACAGGTATAATATAGTCATACAGCAAATGTCAAAGAGCATCTAAGGTCTGGTTGTTGTCAGGATTCAGACTCAGGTGGATCAGGACTCTTACTGGATGATTCTCTGAAATCCAAATAAATAAATACTTGCACAATGACACTTCTGAAAAAGTGTTTATTAAACACGCTCTATAGCAGCATGAAATACTTGACTAATCATAGATGAGGTTTATTTTTAACTCTAGTCCATTTTCCTCTTTACTTGCCAAGTAAAACCAACCAAAGAAGAAGAAGCAGAAGCTCAGGCAAAGTCACGAAGCCACGATCAATGGTCATGCAGGAAACCACCGTGCCTGTGTGTGTGTGTGAGACGGTGTGTGAGTGTGTTTTGAACACCAAAACAATAGCCCATCAGATTGAAACTGACTTCACTTTGTATCTTTTGGCCCCGGCTTGTGACAATAGATTGGACAGGAAATCCAATGGCAGACAGAGAGACAATGAGAGCAGGAGGGGGACGAGGAGGAGGAGGAGGAGGAGGAGGAGGAAGAAGTTGGACGAGGAGCAGAAAAAGACCCAAATCACTCATATGCAGACGGTATGAAGTTTGTTATGTGTTGGTATGTTGTTGTTGTTGGATTTGAGCAGTGATATCTGTGAAGATTTGTGGAAATTTCTTGACTTTTTTTTGACATTGTAGATTCTACTGTGCAGGTGTATATATTTGTGTGTGTGTGTTTGGGAATGAACATATAAGTATGTGGTGATTGTTTGTGTGTATTAGTATGTGTGTGGTGGGCGACCTGTCCCATTTTAATCTGTAGCAGAGAGAAGATGTGGTGAAAACCATTATCACCGTCTCCCTGTCGCTGATAACAGCTCGCTAATCTGTTTGCTGGAGGTATTGAACAAATGCATTTGTGCCATGGACGGTCAGGGAGAGGGGTGAGGTTGGAAGGGTGAGGTGTGTGTGTGTGTGTGTTGATGGGGGGAAGGAGGGTGTAATGAAAAATGAGAGGATGAGGAGGTTGGGAAAACTTCCCCAACAGCAGCGGTCTCACAATGACAACAAGGAGGGAGGCAGAGGTGGGGAGGGAAAATAAGCGAGCGCTGCGAGATGATGGAGGAAGCAAATTGAGGTAATGACAGAGATAGATGAAAAGAGATGAGAAACAGAGAGACAGAATGAAAAAAAGGAACAAGAGGAGAGAGAATGGAAGAAAAAAAAATCAATGTCACGCAAGTGTCCTGTGATAAGAAATGTGAGAGAGAATCAAGCGGTGAAGAAGGCAGACGGTGGTGAGGCGGTCTGCAGACAGGAGGGACAGGACACTGTAGGTCAGAGGTCCAAAACCACATCCTGGTTTGAGGCAAAACTATTTTTCTGAGGAGCAGATACGTGTGTGTGAGGCATATACAGTAAAAACACAATACATTTATTTTAATTTAATATAAAATGTCATTAAGATTATTATTTTATATTGTGCACTTTTATTTTAGGACTTATTTTACTTTGAATGGAGCTGTTTTAGTTTTCAGTTTTTGATGCAATTCACCAAACCAAAATGTATTTTTGTGTGAAATAAATAAATGTAACATTTACATTTATTTATTTAGTTATTTCCCACAATTAAAACAAATATCCAACTGGTGGTAGGAAAAAGGACAAATGTTATTCTGACTAAATAAGTAAACATTAAAAAAAATAATTTTATGGTTAGTCTGTTCAACGGAGTGATGTGGTCCTTGAACAGCTTAAAATGGACCTTAAAAGTGCTTGAATGTCACCTGGGACAAAGGACATGAACTCGTCTCTCATCTCTTAGAAAAAAAAAGAACGTCAACCTCATCACTCTATTATACATTCCATTTCCCTCTGCCCCTAAACGGACACTTTGTCAATCCTTGGAGTAATGGTGGTGGAGCTGGTCTGGTGGATGAAGGGGTGTGGAGGTGGAGCTGGGTGTTACTGCGGGCCCTGAGGCGAGCAGTTAACCTGAGCTCAGAGCTGCTCTCTTGTGAAGATTGCGGAGGCGTTAAAAGGAGAGGTCGGTGAGTGGGGGTGCAACACCCAGGGCAGTGCACGTGTCAGAACACGGAGGGACCTGATGTTAACGTCACATCTAACGTCCTCCACGTCTGTCTTTTATTCCACTTCTGTTTTACATCCTGCTCACTCAGCTTCACTCTCACTGTATGAATCTATATGAATCTCCCCCTCTTTATCTCTCTTTCTCGTGTCCACCCCCCATCCTTCTCACCTCCCCCACCTTTTCTTTCCAAGGCCCTGGGGCACCATCCGACTGCAGCGGCTAACCCTTGTATAAGTTTTCCAATTCCAATTCCTTCTGGATTATGATGTGGTGGTGATGAGCGGACGTTTCCTCTCCATATATTTGATTCAATGGCATGATTATTGCAGCAGTCGGTGTGTCCACGGAGGAGGTGTTGGTGTCGAGAGACGGCATGGACCTTGACCTCACCCAGGGGACGATGGACATTCCTCTGACCTCTGACTCTCTCTCTTTCTTTCCATGTATTTCCTCATCACCTCCGTGGACACACACCGTGTCTCTGACCGTGAAGTCGCTGCTCTGAAAACTGCGCTGCGTTCATGTTCCTGCACATGTGCGGGGCTGCACTCATAACCCTCTCTATCGTCATCGCCCTGAGGTGAGAGGCGGTAGATGGCAGACTTGGTGATTGGTTTTTAGTTAAATGTCAGTGGAGGTGAAAGTACTGCCCAAAGGCACCACGGCGTGTGTGATTGCGTGTGCGTCTCTTCTTTTTGCAGCCGCTCTCTTCCTCGTATCTGATTCCTGTGATGATTTAACTCGTAGACGTTGTCGCTGTAACATTCCTGTGTTTTAAAATCTATGGTAAAAATTCCCATTATGGTGAAACCTTAATCTGATATCTGTAGGTCTAGAACTTTTGAAGCTTTGATGGAGACACTCTTCTGATTAATGAGCCACTGTCAGGCAGAACAACTAAACACTTACCCACTAGGTGGCAGCTGATCGTTACCAAAACTAAAAAGAAAAAGACAGAGGCTCTTAGAGCTGCTAAAGATGATCTTCTTGTGTCTTTCTTCAATTCCTTCAAGTATATCAGGGTGATTAAATGATTAATGCTGAGAGGGTAACGTACGATACACTAGAAATTTTGCCCAGATCATATGACCTAAAAAGATATATTTTTAAGCTCTTTCAGGGATACAATATTAAACATGATATTCAATATTAATAATCCACAAAGATGAGGTAACTCATTTATAGTATTATATATTTTACGGCATGAAAAGACGCATTTATCTCAGTGAATTTGCAGCCATGGCCCTAACATTTCACCGAGTGAGGTTTTAGTAACAATCCCGTCAAATCAAACTTTTGCTGTTGCTGTTGTCAGTGACAACGCTGGATTAAAAAGTACACACCGCAGAGACTAAATTGAATTGTCCAGGTTGCTCCCGTGGCAGGCTGCCGGGTGTGTACAGTAGGACATCTGGCTACAAGTGTGTGGCACAGCTTTGCAGACGGTGTCGACATGCCAGCTGCTGCTCCTTATAAACACCGGGCCCTGAGCTGCTGTGCATCTGCTGCAGCCTGTGGCTTAACAGTCTTGTTAGCTCTTAAATTCAAAAATAGTCAGCGTGTCTGCTGTGGCGTTTTTATTGTTGCTGAACACAAAGCCAAAATATTCGACTCGTGTCACCGCGTGTTTGTTGCCACCAGTGGAGACACGACAGCTGGATCGTGCCAAAGACTTGGCAGGAAAATGTATTCGGAGTTTTGGCATCCTGTCCTGAGTGAATATTCACAAACTTATTTATATTTCTGTTTGCTTCCGTGCGTGCGTGCTTGCGCGTTTCATGCATGAGGTGTCCCGGCGTGTGTTTGTGTGTGTAAGACCTGTTCCAGAGCCACTGTCACCCACATACACACACACATATAAAGACGTGGTGTCCTGCAGCGTCCCTTCGTTGGCCGTACCTCACTTCATGGAATCACACAGACCACTAAACATTAATGCTGCCCCAGTGTGTGTTTTCCTCTGTGTGTGTCTGTGTTTACTGCTGCTGAGTGACAGCTGTCATAAAACCTGAGACTTGTGTCCCATGAATGCTGTGTGTGTGGTGTGTGTGTGTGTGTGTGTCACTGCATATGTTCCATGATGGATTTAGAGTGTGTCTGCCCGCAGACAAGACTAAAGGTCAGTGTCCAGAAGCTGTTTGACTGTCAGCTTCACTTGTCCCCTCACCCCTCCGCACAGGAAATATAGTCCTACAGCCAATCAGGGACCAGGACAGGATGAAGTGTAGGATGACGAGAAAAGTGCAAGTGATGAGGAATAACAGTCATTTATTTTTTTATTACATGATAAAAATGTCACTCACTCTGTTGATGTGCAGTACAGTGGATCCAGTGCAGTCATTTAAAAGTTTTTGTCTGAATTTTGGTTTTCAGCTACGTCCAAATGAAAGATCCAGATTGCAGTTCACACAAACAAACATTTTGTTCGGGATCAGAATCTGAGGACAACGCAGGCGTCAGGGTTTGGTGCCTTAAACTTACTGTTCATATTGTTTCCTGGAAACTCGAGGCTGTGATACGTACACCCCTCTGTACCGACCACGAAGCCGTGCACCACAGGTAGAGCCAACATGACGGTGGCCTGATAAATGGCGATGTCCCCAGTGCCCATAAACAAATCCCTTACACGCCCACACACACATATACATGCTCTCATGCAGAGTGGGGGCCTGGTGGCTCCTTCCTGGCCCACTAATTTCTATTCATTTAAAACAGCCACCAGGGCAGAGTGGAGCAAACCCCCCCCCCCCCAGCCTGGCCCCAGACACCAGCCATTCATTATTCAGCTGCATGCTTTATGAATGGCTTACAGGTGGATGCTACGACTGCAGCAGAGAAACACCGCTCGTAAATCACAACACTCGGACACACACACACACACAGGTACACCACCCTGAAACGTGCAGACACAGAGACACCCCCGCCCCATCTTTTGTAAGGATGCAGAGCCCGAAGATGCAAAACCCTGTGTGTGTGGGGTAAAAAATAGCAGCGTGCGGCGGTCGTCAATTTCCTGTGTGCTCTCTCTCTTGTTGCTGTTTAATTAGTAATGAGGACAAATATTTGTTAGTTGCAACAACGAGGGAGGGGAGATTGAGGTGAGACTGTGTGGGAGAGAAAGACAGTGTGTGGGTCTGTGAATCTGCATATGAAGATGAACTGAAATTTGAACTAGTGATAGAGATCACTACGATACTGTGTGTGTGAAAAGAAAAAAGAAAACAAAAAAAACAACAGGCCGACGCAGGGCAGCTGTTTAACATAGTCTGTGGTATAACTAATAGATCAGACGCTGTTACATTTGTCAACCTGACACTTTCTCCTATATTGAGTTACACTCCAGGGCTTCCTCACTTTCTTCTCCTCCTCCTCCTCTTCATGCTCTTTTTCTCCCTCTCTCTCCCTCTGACCACCTCATCTCTGAGCTCCCTTTTTTCCGTTTTTTTTTTCTCAGAACGCCACCGCTCTGACAGTGAACAGTCGGTAAAGTCGACCTAGCAGAACGATGCACAGGTCGGGTCAGGATCTAGACCCAGGGTCTCATCCACAGAGTGTGATGGATGACACCGTGGAGGTGCTTCTTTTGGAGAACTTCAAACAGCTGGTGAAGGTTCATCGTCTGTTGACCACAGATATGAATCATCGCCTCAGATTCGTCGTCTTTGTTGAGCCGGTGTTTGAACCTTCAGTCCTTGGGTTTCTTTCACCACCAGCCGCTGCTGTTTGTAGGTCACTGCTGCAAACGTGCATTTAGAGTTAAAGTTAAAGTCTAAATATTGCAACATTGCACTTTGCCTGTTGTGTTAAAAAGTCAGTGTTGGAGTTTAGCTGTAGAACAGTCAGGATTCAGCTTTAAATAACTGTGTATGAAAACCAGTGAGAGCTCATTATTTTCTGGAGTTTTGCATATTTGTATATTTTTTTGTGTTCCTTATATACACACCGTGTGGTGGGTGTGTGACAGAGCGCTACGTTGTGTTGCAGCCGTGATTGATGGATCCATTCTCTCTCTCTCTCTCTCCCTTCCTCTCTCACTTTTTCCAATGCCTCCGTTCAGTTCGTCTTTCACAGCAAGGCCTGTGATTCTGCTTCCACTCTGTCACTCACTCACCTGAACACACACCTACCAACACCTCCATGGACGCACAAGCACACACACACGCACAAACACGCACCCAAACAGTGATTCTGTTTCCAGTTCGTCAGTCACGCAGACACACACACTGAGATTTGAAAGCTGGATGTGACAGTGCATCTGACAGTGCTCTCAGCAGCCACACACACACACACACACACACACACACACACACACAGACAGAAGCTCAGTGTTGTCGTTTGTGTCCCAGCTGACCTCTTGAAGAAATAGCCTGTTTCAGGTGCTGTTATTGCTGCCGGTGGACGGACATTTGTTACAGTGATGTCGAGTGTCGTGGTCAGAGATGTCCTCGGATGTGAGCGCACATTTCATTGGACAGTGATTTGTCCAGGATTAGAACCAGATCAAGTCTGGATGCCTGTGCTGTTTTCTTGACCTGAGGAATAGTTTGGAATCTTTGTTTTTCAAGGCAACAACAAAAGAAAAATACTGGCCTTTCTTCTGGTGTGTGTCTCTGGTCGTAGATGTGAGAATGTTGCAGTTCTGGTTGGACTGATGCTGATACGACTTTTCCACAGCTGTTGATTTATATTCTGCCATTAATTTGGCTTCGTCGTCACCTTTTAACTCCAATGTAAAGTGATTGTGTTAAATACAGCTGTAGTTGGACATTAAAATAAACCCAGGCTGAATCTGTAGAGTCTAACCAAGCCCTGAGAAAGGAAGCCAGCTGTGAGGTTTAGATAACATATGGCACTAACTACCTGCACACACACACACACACACACACACACCATGATTCATAACCCAGTGTGTTGCCTTTTGACACAAAGGCAATAGAAGCAGCAGTCTGTACAAGCCTGGACTTTTATTCCTTTCAATTTGTCTTGCTTAAAAAACAAACCGGCCGTGAACCGGAGAATAAATAAATAAAGCCGTAGGCACTGAGGGAGGGAGAGAGGATGGATGAATGGGACTGTTTCAGCCGTGGGGGTGGGAGAGATGGGGGTGGTTAGGGTGGTGTTACCTACCTGAAAGAGTCTGGGACCAGTGTGTGTGTGATTGGACAAGAAAAGTCTTTGTTGAACATTTTCTGGACAATTCAAGATGTCAGAAGAAAATATTAAAAGGTTCTGTTGTCGGATGAAAAGTCTTTGTTGAACATTTTCTGGAATTTCATGTCAGAAGAAAATATTAAGAGGTTCTGTTGTCGGAGTTTATAGATCGTAATTACACTGAACGTTAACCAATGTCGTTGTCAGTCACCTATATGAGAATCTCAGTTTCAACCAACCTCAGTTTCCTACATTTGATCTACAAGTTTTTGTTTTTTTTCTTCAGTCATGGATTGTATTTCAAGGTGTTTTTTTTAATCCTTCAGTGCACTTTCACTTCTGTTCTCAGTGTGTGGCTTCAGTTTTATTTTCACTTGTTGTTGTGAGATGGAAACTTATCTTCTGAAGATGACAGAGGCCAAAAGTAATTGCTAAAATTTCCTGAGCTGGAGACTTGGTCTTGATTTGTGAACATGAACAAGTTTCCCTCTAGGGGTTTGGTGGATATGGGAATCATTACTTAACAGCCAGTGGATCAAACACATTAAATATCTCATTGCATCCTCCTCCTCCTCCTCTTCCTCTTCCTCCTCCTCTTCTCTCTGCTCTAGTCTGCACTCCTTCTTGCTCCCAGGACTGCCGTGTAGTTTAAATGCACACTTTCCTGACAACAGCGCTGCATTGATCCTGCAGAACACACACACACACACACACACACATGGTTTGAAATGTATATGTACAGTATGTGTGTCCAATAAAGGGAGTATGTTTTATGACAAGTAAAACGAGCCCAGTGAGAAACTGCTAAGTTCAATATCTCATCACTGTTTGTGTGTGTGTGTGTGTGCACCCTTTTCACCCTAAATTATACAAATACTGAAGTAGAACATGTGAAAATACGTTAATTTAATCATCATACAATATTTTTTTAATAATCATCTAGATGCTGTGTATGTTAGAAATAAACAATAATATTCCTTTTTTTTTTAGATAAATGAAACCAGGGAGAGAGTGAAGGCCACGGTGAAGTCCCTGTGGTGCTGTATGCTGGGAGGAAGAAAAAAAACAGCAGAGTTTCTAACAGGTAGGACAGAACCACAAGTGCTCAACTATAAAACACAACTGCAGTGTCTCAAATTATTTATAGTTTAATGTTCTCTCCGATTATCGTTTTTATTTTTCTGTTTACCTCAGAGATTTGGCAAAAACTGAGGAAATTGGCAAAAGTAAATGTTTCCCCAGAAAGTGAGTGATGGCAGCGACGCTGCTGCTGTAGCTACAGACGTACAATTACTTATTGTTTTGTAGTAATGTCTGTATTAGGACTGTCAAAATCAACATGTTAACCACCATAAATAATGTGTGAATTGAATAAGATAATAACTCCATCCATCCACTTATCATATCTGTCATTCTGAGTCAAGACACGTTATTTGAACTCGTTGCCAGAAAAACTTTAGTTTCACTGAAGCACCGGGAGGTTAAATTTTGGGGCTTGATTTCTTCCGTCAACATTTTCCTCAGGAGTTTTTAATACCTAACCTGAGGAGGTAGTACGGTGGCGTGGTTTGGCCTCTGTGTGTCTGTTGTTTTCATTGGTTTTATAGAATCCTCCTTGTTTTCTGTCAAGGTTGTTTTGAAGGAGTGTAAATCTGCAGGAGTCTCATCGTCTGATTTGAGTTTTCTAGATGTTCCGTCTTACATCACTTAGGCTTTGTGGGTTTAGAAGTTTCAAAGTTTGAGAAGATACTTTACATGGGCTCGGAATTTATGATGTGTTGAGAAATTGTCCAAAAGGTTGTTTTGTTTGTGTCCAAATCTGAACGCTACATCAAGGCTACACATCGCAGTATCTTGCAGTACAAATCAGTAAATTACAGAGGAGAGATACGGTCACTTACTGAACACACATACAAACACACACTTCTCTGCCTGTTCCAAACAACATGCTGCAATTAACAACTCCTTAATGGCTGTTTAGCCCCTCCCCTCAACCCCCACACCAGTCAGAGAAGAACCATCAGAACGTCAGATCCTTTGGAATCGTCAAATCAAAGAGCAGACATCTCTCAACGAGGAAGGTAATTGGCATGACCCTGTGACCCCTCCAACCTTCTGGGGGCGCATCTTATCAAACCCAGTTCCTACCAGTCACACCCACCCTGCTAACTAGCACACGGATAGCACTTAATGTATACACCGACACATACATGATGCGTCATTAGTGGCTTCGCCTCGATCCACGCTCATTAGACACAAACTATGGGCAGTTTGATGGGATGGCAGAGTGGCTTCACCCCCGGCCCCCGCACCCTGTCCCTTAAAATCAGGCATGTGCACACAAAAGACAAAAGCGTCTCCAGCCAGTGAGGACCAGTAGCTGCAGGGCTAATAAGGCAGTCTTGTTAATCCAGAAGAAAAGAGGAGAGCGGAGGAGGAAGCGATGGAGAGACTTCCACTCCTCCTCACTGCTTAGAGGAGATCGGATTGATGTTTGGACGGACAGACTCGGACTTCTTTAATTAACCTGGCAGGATGTGAGACGTGTGTCTTAACTAGGGGGACGCCATCATTAGCATCTAGAGAATACTGTACATAGGTTCACATCATCGCTTTAAGATGAAAGAGTCAGTTTATTAGAGGAAAAAAAGATCAGGTTTTTTTTAGGGCTGGACTTTTTCTTAATGAGTAACGTACCTTTGCAACCAAGTTCAGATGAAGAAGGCAGTGGTGTTGCTCTAAATTTAACACAAAATTGAATTCATAGTGGAAACTCTGAGATGGAACTTTGTGGTGGTAAAAAAAAAAGATTCTGCAACGATGTAAGCACTGACATTTAACAACAAATAATGATGAAATAATCAAGAGTGGTACGTGAGGTTTTTTATTTTCTCATTACAAGAACTTAGAGCAAAGAAAGGGAACTATTAAGTCATACAATCTAGTGGTGAGACTTTCATTGTAAAATATCAGGGACAATGATGTGGTTTCTTTGCATCGAACCACAAAACAGCCTACACATTAAGAGAATGAACACGACTGCGTATTTCCCGTGGAGGGGCCTCAGGAAGAAGACATTCATCCTGGCTCCTGGTTCCACTAAGCAGGTGATTTATTTAATGGTAAAATGTGCATTACTGACTTCAACACACACACACACACACAGCACAATAATCACAGTCTACACATGTATCCATCTTTAAAAATCACCCGTAGTGGCCCGTGATAACACGGCATAATGAAGGTGTTTGGCAGTCACTGCAAGGGTGGCTGTAAATGATGACACCCGGAGCTGGAGTTAAGTGGTATTCCTTCTGTAGCCACACTACACGCTGTATGCTAATGAGGCCATTTTATTTACTGGACTTGCAGGGAAGAAAAAAAAAACTCATAACATCATCTCAGTAGTTTATATTGTTAACTGGGTGTAAATATGCTATTTGCATTGTTATCCAGGATAAATATGCTTCCTCTTCACGTCGAGGAGACAAACAGACCCGATTCCATCACCGTGCATTAAACTAATGCCACTATAGGTTTGGCTGCCATTTATAGAGTGCACACTTTCTCCTGTCATGCACATATTTGCACTGCTTGATATATATTGTACTCAATTTACATTTTTTTAATGCTAACAAGCTAATTAAAATAAAAAAAACATACCTGCTGCACATACATGCTCATATATCTGAATGCTAACACCAGTGTGTATGTAAAGGCTCATTAGCAGCACCCCTCATATCATCACCTGTCTTAGTTTAAATACACATGCACACATTTGCACACATTCTTCTTCCCCTCATCTACAGTACACAAACACACTCACACACAGGTGCACACGCTCTGTGTTAGTTAATCACCGCGTTGGATTGAGAGCGGACGCAGCCTATGCTAATGTCTCAGTTAATGTCCTGGTGGCTCTCCTTGAGAAATATATTTATCGCCTTATTATGGGCTTGTTTCTATAATTCATAGGAAGTGCGTCGTCCTCGATCACACCCAGATGAATAGAACAGGGGCTGAGTGGAGAGATGCAAGTGTAATTCACTCTAAGGTTTGCTGCTCTCTCTCTCTCTCCCTCTCCCTCCCTCTTTTTCTCTGTTTCTGTAGTTATGGATCATTATATTGCGATAGCTGTTGGTTGTGCATGCGTGGCACAAACCCTACTGGGAGCAATCAGCACAGAAGAGAGCAAGAGGGACATTATTTTTTATCCCGTGCTCCAACATTAACTTGAAGTTTTAACCATTTTTACATCAATCATGTTCCAAGTTGTACAAAGTATGAAAAAAAAAAACAAAAAACAGACCAAATACGGTTTTAGTATTTTTTTCAAACAAGTTGTACAAAGTACTGAAAAAAAAAAAAAACCAGACCAAATACGGTTTTGGTATTTTTTTCAGAGTCTTTTTTATTAAAAAAAAAATTCAGCAAATTTCAGAGTACTTCCTTTAGGGAGAAATCGACATTAATTTAACAAGTGCTGAGTCTTTACTTGTAGTTTGCAAACACAACTATGGGAAAAGTCCAAATGCTTTGAATTTTTTGGAAAATACTCAAACTATCATTGCATGTACAGCGTTGAGCATCGTGTTACCAGTGAAGCGGTAATGTCTCGGGGAATTTTTTTTGGAAAATACTCCAGTATTGCTGGTAATGTCTCGGGGGAAAAGTGTCGTACCCACAAATAAATCGAGCCAACACTTTGTTGACGCTGACAGGATGCTTTTCATAACTTTCACCACCTGGGTGCGGTGTTGTCCCCTATTTGAGCGCTTCTTTGGAAATCTGTAGATGCAGTTTTACTAATTGTAGGCGCAAATGTTTTCTCGAAGACAAAAAGAATGAGGAGAACTAACGTGTGTTTTTGCCAGGCAGTTGTCTAGAAAAATAAAACTTGTTTTTAGTGTGATGTTTTTCGTTAGCCCTGAGGGAAATTCCTAAAATAAACATACTTCAAGTCTGTTAACAGTGCAGCGGTATACTTAAAGTAGAAATCAAATGAATGTGCGTTTGATCTTTAGTTTTTCAGAGTGCTGTATAAATATTTCCAGAGTTATGGCTCTCCTCTGGCTGCAGCGTTGGCGCTTGTGTCTCCCTCTGACGGAGTGTGAGGGACAGCGTCGGAGCGGAATCATAATTATAAAATGAAAAAGAGGAAAAGGGGAAATGGGAGTGGGATTACTCCTCTCTCCTGCTCCTGAGGGAGCGACTATTTGCTCCGACATTTGCTTTGCTTACCTGAGTGTTTTCCCTAAATCACAGTGACTGCTGCGGAGCCTCAGATGAAAGGAATGGAGCAAACGTGGTTGTTGGGCTAGCACAAGTAAGACGAATGGAGGTTTTTGTGCCTGTGTTTGTGTTATGTGAAAAATGGAATGTGTGGGAACTCACTCTCAACATGGCCTAAAATCGATTAAAAAGTGTTAAACAGTTGGACTGTGGACCTGGTTGAAGTCGGTGACACAGTCAAGAGACCACCTACAGTTAAACCCAGAATTGTTATAAAAACTAAAAAACTAAAACACATGTTTTTAATCCAATACCTCTAGAGCAAAGAAAGCAAAGTGTCAACTTTTCCCTGATCAGGATATCGACACGTCCGTGATGAAAATGCAGAATCGTATTTGCATAAATCGTTGTCCGGTGCCCTTTAGTTGCACAGATGATGTATGTGACAAATCAAAATCTCTCTTCATTTGCTTTAATACACTTATAATCCATAGAGCGCTTTTCCTACGGTCAATTCTGGTTAAAAATGATGAATGGCTGACAGGGGCTGCAGCTGAAGTTCTGCCTGGTGTTCAGGTCCTCACCCGGAGGTGGGTGAGGACCGAGGAGGGCAGTCCCCTCCCTGCTTGCCCCCTGAAGAGCTCTTCAATTTGAATATGACGAGTCCCTCAGAGGCCCTCTCTCTTCAACCACGCCAAGATGAACGAGCCAACCGTCAGACAGCGGCGGACAAATGCAGAGCAGAGAAATAAAGAGCCTCTTCTCACTGGCAGTTAATAGAACCAGAGTGAGGAGCGGGACGGAAGGGGAACCTCTTGGCAGCCTGGCCCCGTGAAGAGCTCTCAGAAGTGGGCTAACTCAGTCCCACAGATCCCTCTCAATCCTGGACCTTTTGGCCCTTCAGCCCCGCTGGTGTCGGAGCCAGCTCTGTGGCTGAACTCTGGAGATGTGGTAATAGGGCCTGGATGAACTCTTCAAGGGGATAAAAACCCTCTTCTGTCCTCCAGGCTCTTGTACTTAAACTGCGTGATTTGTCCTTTTTTTCAAATCAATTTTGATTTCAGTCTCTACATGTAGAGGTATTTTAAATAGTGTGAAGTGAGCTGGTCTTCCTCCGTCACGTCCTGGCGAAGACAGTCTCCAGTTGATTTGAGAACCTTTGTGAAGACACTGGTTTGGACTGGAAAACCCAAGGATGTGAAAGTGCTTGACAGCGTGCCAGTTTTGAATCTCCAGTGGAAGGAGTACGGCAGTTAAGTCGGCAGGAGAGGTTCAGTGTTGAGGACATGTGAAGAGGCAGAGTGGCTGTGAAGAGGAAGGATGGAGTGGAGACCAGCAGTCAGGGTGGAGGAGAGGAGATGTGGAGATGAACGCAGGTCAGAGGACTGTGGATCGTGGAGATGGAGAAGAGAAGACGGAACAAAAGTGTGGAGATGGAGAAGAGAAGACGGAACAGAAGTCGGATCGTGGAGATGGAGAAGAGAAGACGAAACAAAAGTGTATGAGCTCAGACGATGAAGTATCGAATCATCGTAGACTTCAGACTGACCAAATACAGAGCAGGCCGTCAAGTTTCTTGCCGAAGCTACGAGCTAGCTACCAGAACACTGTGGTTTTAGTTCTGTGTTTTTGTAGAGAAATGTTGACATAAATTGCAAACAAATTGCGTCAAGAGCAACATCTGCAGGTAAACGTACCAGTATAGAGGTGCGGCCCATAAAAAACAGGCTGGATGGATTAGTTTTAATGATTCTGTTTGGGGTGTTTTTTTTTATAATGGAGAGAAATTTTTTAAACATGAGTCCCATGTTGTATGTCAACAGCTAAACAGTGTAACAGTGGTGGTATTAAACATGCACTACTCATGTACCAGATCCTTCCTATCCCTCTCATTGTAATGCTGCCTCCCCCTTTGTCTCTCTCCCCCCCCCCCCCCCCCCCCTCTCCCTCCCCTCCTCTGTCTCATTCCCTGTGATGGCATGACACACAGTGAGAGGCTGCAGGGTTAAACTCCAGCACTCTCATTCTGTGTGGCAATTAGGCGTGAGGGCATTGTGGAGCCGCTGCGATTGCTTTAGTCACTTGTCATATCACCATGACATAACGAGGTGCATTTTATATAAATGTGAAAGCTGTTGATTTTCTTCATTTGCTTTTTTTTCTCTCTCTCTCTCTCTCCCTCTTTCAGCTTTAACCCTTTTACTCTCACTCTCTGTCTTTCTCCATCACTTGTCTTGTCCTGCATCACAGTCCCCGCCGCCATGTCTCTCTCCTCCCACCTCCTTCCTCCTGCCGTCTCCTTCTATCTCCCGTCCCCTTCATCTCTCCTTCCCCTTCCATCTCCCGCGTCCACATGTCCCCAGTCTCCCACAACACCTCTCTTTCACCAGACAAATCTCCCTCTTTCTCCCTCTCCTTCCAAGTCAGACCACTAATTAGAATTCTGTCACTAAGTAAATGCATTGTGACCGGTGTGTGACAGCTCGGCATGTGTGTGCTTGTCCACGTGTGTGTGAGTGTGTGACAGTTTGGGCAGGTTGTTGGCGGTGACGATGGCAGCCGCCTGGCATTTTTAACGTGGCAAGGTGCTGCTCTCGCCACTGACCTGACAGTCATTTAAATTACACAGAGGAGGATGGCTGCTGTGTGTGTGAGTGTGTGTGTGTGTGAGTGTATGTGTGTGTGTGAGAGATTGAGGAAGGACCATTAGTAGCTGTGGGATAATTCACTGACTCGCGGGCGGACTGATTGTGGAGCTGACTGACTCACTGACTCATTGTTGCAAAACAGACAGACAGATAGGAAAGGCTTGTTTACCATGTCAGCTCACCAATATAACACAAATCTCTTCACACACGCACACACACACACACACATATATACTCTCTAGAAAAGTGTCTAGAGTCGAAGATGAGAGAAGAAGGAAAATAATATAGCAAAAAAAAAAGCAGCAGAAAAACAAAACTGTTTTTCATTGCCTGTTTTTTTTTTTTTTTTCCAACTGATCTGGACGGAGAGGTGAATGAAAACAACATTCATGGATGGAATTATTTTAGGTCCAGGTGACACACAGGGAGTAATTATAACAGAACGCTCATCCGTCCATCCTGAAACACTGCAGCCAGAATCATTCCAAAAGGAATTCTTGTTTACGAGTGAAAACTACAAAAACAAATCATATTTTCTCTTATTTTTAACATTTACATTTTAAATTTCTACTTTATACAACCTATAATCAGCACTTTGATATATTGTAAAGTACTTTATATATATAGAACTGCATATTAGAGAATTGATGACTGGATGGAAGGTGGAATTGTTTATTTTGCCAAACCAATAATCCCAAAAAAATGAAATATAAAAAGAGTTTGTTGTGAAGAATTTCAAATGTGAACATGAATGTTATAATTAAAAACAATGTGTATCACAGTACAGGGGGAGACAGAGGCAGAGAGGGGAGAGAGTGGACACCTCACCCACCACAACAGTCCCCTGGAGGAGAACAGTGCTTAGCAGCAGCAGCAGCAGCAGCAGCAGCACAGGGCCACGGTGACAGCAGCATGGTAAAACACCTCTAATGCACCTCCATGGCTTTTTACTGCTTCTCATATAGCAGCAGCCAGGACACACACACACACACACACACACACACACACACAAACAAGCCGGCATCGAGGCCACTTGAGATTCAGGTTTTTAGTCTGTCACTGCGGGGGCAACATGCTTCAGAACAAACTCACGCACAACAGCGCGGACATTTATTATTCACGCTTTTGTTTTGTACACAGACGACACGCTGGGCGAGAGATAAATAACAGTGATAAGTCTTGTCTTGTCAGAGGAGAGGAGAAAGGCTGAGTGACATATGATTGGTCTCCTGGTCGTGAAATATGCATGGCTTTTTCAGCAGCCAGAGGAGAGGAGTTAATTTAGGCCTCTCGCTACGCTGGGGGTAATTAAAAGAGATGATCGATAGCCCCCCCTCTCTCCGTGACTGATAACAACAGCCCCCACGCACGTACGCACGCACACACAGACACCATACAACTGCAGGTGAACGTGCACATCCAGAATCCACTCTGTGTTTACAGCTTATTTACTGAAGAGTACAATGGAAAATATCTTTGTCAGTTTGCAATTATACTTCCAAGGCAAGGACAAAAAAAACAAACTCCACCCCCTGACCATGATACAATTGTTTAATTTCTACAACTTGTTCTGCTCTAGGGGAAAACTTGAACGATTGAACAGTGTTTATTAGGACAAACTTTCTTTGTTTTGCATCTTGGGTTGTTAGTTTAGCTGAGGTGAACAACGATCTCAGTCGTACAAAGTCAGTGTTCCCTTTGTTTATCAGGTATGGCTGACTTCACATCTTCAAAGTTTGAAGAAACTCTGGAGTTTTCTGGTCCTCAGAGTTGGCGCAGGAAGTCACGGCAGCTTTTATCGTCGTCAGACTCACCGACAAAGATTTGTATTCAGTATAGTGCAGTCACTGTTAACAAGGCAGAGAGCAAGAGAGCCGGGTACTCCAAAGTCTTCCATAAACAGGCACTCTGTCATCAATATTATAGAGGAATCCATACTGCAGGAGTAGAAGACTAATTAGAGCTGGCTCTAAATTATTTAACTCCCTCTGATTTTATTGATTTGTCAGTTCAGAGCTGTGACTCAGAGCTGTAAAATTGACTCTGCCTGAAAGAGACATGCTCGTCTCCTGCTTTATGGCTGTCAGCACGTAGACGCTGACAGGCGGCGGTGCACTAATACAGCTACTTCACACATGAGGACACCGAGCAAACAACAAAGAGAAACACAATAATCACATACGGGGACCTCAGGGGCACGTGTTCGCTGCAGGTGCATGCTGGGAAACCCATCAATTTGCACCGTTAACGGCCTTAATTAACGCCGCCGCAATTTAACATGAACTCGGCAAACACTCACAACTCATAAACTAATTACATATCTCTCTATCAATTAACCAACATCTCCACACGGAGTGTGAGAGAGTCAGGTTTGTCGCCTGGTCACACCTGGGCCTTTAATCAAAATCACACGTGAAAAAAAAATCGTGGGCACATTTCCGCAGATGCTCCTGGTTTGATGATGGCTGGGCATTGAATGTAGCGCCTAATTGGTTAATTGCGGAGGGATTATCTCCACAACTAGGAATCAATTGACCGGGCACATAAGCATGTATGATTGACAGTGGCAGGAAATTATCTCACAGGCCGCGAAGCAAGTCAGCAGCAACGATTAACCAATCAGAGCCGATGTCGATCGATCTGCAGGGCTGGGGTTGAGCTGCAGCTCCAGGTGGAAATGGTTAGAAACGCTGTCTGTGACTTAAAAATCTGTTCCTCCGGTTGGACCAGGTGACTCAGCACAGTCTTTGAACTCACTGCTGCTCAATACAGCAATTTAAATGAATGGGTTTCTTATAGGAAAATGTAGTTTTTCCCTAAAAAATAAATACGAGTCAGTTGTTTGTTGACAGGAACTCACTGAGCTGAGTTGCCCTGGGTCAGAGCTGTCCATGGTGCTGAATTTGTTCTCTCTGTTTTTTTAATGGATTTTGTAAACTTTATTAAACAGACAGTGTCACACACGTCAGCCTGTATGGAGAGTAAACCATTTACACCTTTTTGGGGGTGGGGGGAGTGTGGGGGGTAGTAGATCACCACCATAACCATTAACCACCATATACCAAGCAGAATGAGTTTCAGTTCAAACTTAAATTGAAACCTAGTTTTTAAAATTATTCAAGCTTTGCCAAAAGGTTTTGATGGAGCTCCATTTTCTTTCTTAATTTTCTTCCCTATTTTTAAAGCTGTAAAAACTGGATTTCACACCAACGACGTGGCTCAGGAGCAGGTTGTGACCTGGTGTCAAGGACATCCATCAGAATTCCACAAAGAAGGAATTCTCTGATGGAATTGGCCCTGCAGACATGTTTAGATTTAAGAAGATGGATATGTGGTGAATTCTGTTGGTGAATTGTTTTTATAAGGGTGACGAGGAGGAACTGTTTCACCTGAATGGTGCTTGTTGTTTGGGAGGTTGAAGCTCCTGCTGCTCCTGCTGTGGTTCAGATGTTGGAGTTCATCACAGATGACACGGAGACTTGTTTAATCCTCACCCAGTCTGTGAAGGAGTCACTACGTTGCTCAGGGGCATCTTAGCAGTAGTTCAAAAAGAAAGTGTTGTGTCACTCACCGAGTACTTTACTATCTACTCACAGATGTGCCTTAATAGGTCGGTTTGATAGTCTGATCCCTCTACAGTCTTTAAACCCATCAGTGTTTTATCTGGATTGTAGTAAAAATGCTGGTTAGTTGTAAATGTGACTTACAGGAGCTACTGTATGGGTGAGACGGGTGAGGTCGCTGACTCTGGAGCTCAGGTCAACCATTTCTACTTCTGTTACAACATTTATTTGTGTTTGTTTCTCTCCTGACTTTCTGTCTTCCTGTCTGCAACAAACTGTTGCACCAATTAGTGGTCGCTATTATTTCCAGGGAAAAATGACCTGTTTAGGGTCTTATACTCTTTCGTGTGACATTTTAAAAGTGCAGGGAGACCACCACTGGGGGGCCTGAGATTCTCTGACAGAATCAGACATTAAGTGACAAAGCACGATGTCCAAATTCAGCTCCAACAGTGGAACAGCAGCAGAGGCTTCAGACGTAGGAGCCATGCAGTCAATCCGTCACTCTCCAATCATTTATCAAACCCTCTGTTTTCCTACAACACACTCGCTGCTCCCTCGCTTTCTCTCTCTCTCCATTTATCAAGCTCTCCAAACCAAAGGAAAACCAGCGGACCCTGAGGAGCACCTGCCCTGTGGTGACAGCAACCTGAAAAAGCTCCCAGCTACAAAAGAATTTCATTTCTAACCCCAGTGTCAATCAGCAGCAAAGAGATGTGACTATTTTTCATGTAGCCACAACTGTGGCAGCTGTGTGTGTGTGTGTGTGTGTGTCAGGGCTGAGTGGACACAGATTAGAGGTGGCGTTACAGACCCCTCCCTCATTGAGCAACAGCCAGAGTGTGACTGCTGTCCCTCTCCATTACTGCCTCACTCTGCATCTGAGCTTTTCTTTCTTTCTTTTTCTTTCTTTTTTTTGCTCCATTTTCACCTCAATTTTTTTACTTGTCCAAAAAGTTGGGCTGGACATTGGTTTGATTGGACCAGTCGAGAAGGCAAAAACAAAACCTGATTAATAGCTGCAGTCACAGTCTCTCCTCTTACTTTACCTTCCTCTCTCTTCTCCCTCCTTCCTCCATCTGTCCTTTACGTTGAAGCTAAAATATAATTTTAATTATGTCTAGAATTGCGTCAGAATTTCTTCATAATGTGGTGAAGGTCCTGGTACTTTCTTTTCATTTTGCCTGGTCCTTTTTCTGGTACTTTCTCTGACTCATGGTACTTCTGAGGTGAAAGACCGGATGAATTACTCACCGGTATTTCTCTCCCTCTCCTCCATGTCACACTCTGCTCTCTGGTCCTCATTGGTTTTTTCTATCAGTGAATTCCTTCTTTGTAGAATTCTGGAGGATGACCCTTGACCCCGGGTCACAACCTGATTGTTCCTTGATATTCTTTGACAAAGATATAGTCATAAAACAGAAAGTTAATTTGTAAAAAACAAAATACAACATCTGTCTTAGAACCTTTTGACTCAGAAAAGATGAATCTGGTCCAGATTTATTGACTGCCACACAGATTGTAAGTACCTGCGCTGTATATGTTAAGGTGTGTGTGTGTGTGTGTGTGTGTGTGTGTGTGTGTGTGTGTGATGTATCCAGTGGCAGTCCCATGAAGAATGAAGTCACCTGGTTTTCCCCTGTCTTTGAAGGTCAAGGAGACCCACTTGCATATTCATGGACAGGCGTTTGTTTGCAAGTGGGTGCGTTGATGTTTGTCAGTGTGTGCGTGAGGTTGTGTGTGTGTGTGTTGCTGCTGCAGCAGCTACTCATGCGCGTCCACGTGTGACTGTGTGCCGGGATCGATGGCTTTTAATTGTTTTTTCCTGAGCTGTGGAAGGAAGTGCCAGCAGTTATTGATTGGATGGAGGCGGAGAGGAGGGAGTGAGGTAGAGAGTGAAAGAGAGAGAGAGAGAGAGAGAGACAACATGGCAGACAAGAAGGAAATGTGACAAGACAGGATGGCGACGTGGAACATAGAATCATTGTCTGCTGGTTAGCTGAGGGGGGAGAGAGTGAGTGAGGACAGGGAGTTTCAGGAGTGTCTTTTTATTTCTCTGTATCTCCTCAGGTTTAAAATAACTCCAACCTCTGGTCAGCGGCCCGGCTTGTGTCAGCCAGTCTATGACTGACAGTCCGACAGACACAACAGTCAGATGGATTGTTCAGGACTGTAGACTGTACTAATACTGTTGAGGAATGACCAGGAATGACTCTCTCAGTTTTATGGTCGTAAACCTTAGAAAAAATTAGTCACAGATAGAAACAGGTGATAAATTTGAGTTTATCTGGATTACTCGTGGCTAATCGTGATCACTCACCAGCTGTTAATCAGATCACCATTAATCAGATGAAAATTATGAATCATTTGACAGCCATGACATATACATATACGTCGTATCAGCTGTGAAAGCCACACATCAAATGATGGTTGAACAGATGAAGATTAATGAGGTGTGAGGCACAGTAACCTTATATTAAAAACACAGCATCACGGTGGATGTGGGTGGTGAAAGGTGTTAATGATGCTTTTAAATGGTTCCTGGTTCACCCTGAAGAAGTGATTAAAATTAATACCTCTATTGAGCGGACATTTGAAAGACATCTTTGTTTGCTTTCAAGTCACTGCTAAACTCTGACTTTGTGGCCGTTAGTTTCAAGAAGGAAAAAAAAACAAAAGACGAAAAAGAAAAAAAAGAAGAAAAAACACATTTGAGCTACAGGGCAAGATGAAATTGGAGTCAATGGTGTTGGTCAACCCTGACCCAGTGTTAGCTAAGGCTCGTTTGGATGAATTGTGTGTAACACAGCTGTGTGTGTGTGAGTGTGAGTGTGTGTGAGAGCATCGGGGTGTGTGCTGCGGAGTGTTTTTGGACTTAAAGTAACAAGCTTTATTCCCTAACAATGTTCCACCATGCCCTCATTACATACGGGTTAAAGTGGCACTTGGGCCTGTCTAGACAGCTAAACAGAGAACACACACACACACACACACACACACACACAGAAATAGACTGATGCCTGCTTTCACTGCTAACCAGCCTTTTAAATAGAAAGAGGAAGACGTGAAATGAAGCTTGTTCTAAGAGGATATATATTTGGGCGCAGAGTCTTAGTCGTAATATACAGTGTATATAGTGTGATTATAAGGACCACGACAAATATATCACGGCAGTCGTTTTATTTTATAAAAGAAAAGTTTTCTTTTTGTTAGTAATGAGCACTTTTGGTGGCTTAGTGGTTAAGGAAGTGGACTTGGGTCTGGAAGGCTTTAGGTTCGACTCCACCACCTCCTAAGTTGTCGCTGAGGTGCACGCACTGCTCCCCGGGAGCTTAGAGTTTCCCACTGTTCACTTTGGTGATGGGTTAAAATATATACCACCTGTAAAGGTTTTATATATTTGGGTTTTCAGGTGGTCACTAAAATATTGTTAAAGGAGTTGTTTTCCTTGTTTTTGTTTTTGTTTTTTTTCATTTGAAGGGACGGCCTCTCAGTCCAGGAGTCTCTTCCCCAGTATCTGTCTCGGCCCGTGACTAAAAATCCTTGATTCTAAAAGACGTGATAATCAGTGTCTACTGAAGCGTAGCAGAAAGACACAGAAGTGAGCGCTGGGAGGAGGTGGAGGTGATGAAGAAGACGCAACGGTGGCGACAACACACACAAGGCTTAGCTCTGCTCTGCCACACTGTCAAATCTGCCTTGTATCCCCCCTCACACACACACACACACACACACACAGAAAGATTCTCTGTAATAGATTCTCGTCCTGACACTCAATTCTGTGGCGAGACGATGCTGCTTTATCCCTGCCTGCATCAAATATTTAAACACTTGTATTAGTGGCTGTGTCATCTCCTCAAACACCCGGAGCTTAGGGCACCAATCTCTCCCTCTCTCCCCCTCTCCCCCTCTCCTTTCTTCCTCTCTTCTCCACCATTCTCACAATTCCACCCCTAATATCCACAATGTTATCACCTGCTCGCCTGTCTCCACCATCCCATCATTTTATATTTTCAATACTGGGGCATGTTTTTATCCAGGCTGCCTTTTCAGGCTTTTTTTTTTTTTTTTTTGAAGCAGGTCTTTTCAATCTTTAAGAGGCGCAGCTCTACAGATTGCACCACGGAGAGGGTGAGATGGTGAGGAGAAAACATGTTAGGATAAAGGAAGGAGAAGATGCTGAGAGTGGGAGAGAGGATCGGAGGAGAGAGGATCGGAGGAGAGAGGATCGGTGGCGGCGGCTTCTGCGCTTGAATGATGTCTTTCAAGAGGAGCAGTCTAGCTTGTCAAATCGCTGGCTGTGAAAATGAATTGGCATATCTGTCGGGCTGTTGGGCAGAGATGTCGGGCCGCAGCGTTTCATATTCCTGGATAAGGCCAAATAACGCAATTGTCAGAGAGACAGAGAGTGTGACAGGGAATGAGAGCCGGTTAGTGAGGTGGAGGTGGTGATGGAGTGAGAACCTGGCAACAATGCTGTGTGTTTATGTGACAGACATCAGCAGCAGCAGCAGCAGCTTTTCACAGCTGATGCTCTGTCTGTCTGTCTGTCTGTGGTGTGGTGTGTTGTGTTGTGTTGGGGCAGCTTAATGCAAACTCCTTAAAAAGCCCCTCAGCTCCTGAATGTGCCGGCTTTAAATCCCATTGAAGTTTTCCAGCTCGGAGATTACACCCTGACCTGCTCGTTTTTGAAAGATTATTATGGGTCATATCTGCTTTAGACACCACACAATAGAACACACTCTGGGTGTGAAGAGAGTCAGAAGCTAATATTGAAGTGGACAGCGCCTCCTAGACCTCCCATTGTCAGCTGGAAAATTCAACGGTACAATCTCATGGTACTGATTGTAGAGGTTTTGGAACTGAATGTGAAACTCAACGTCAGGTTCCAGGTGTGAAGCCCTGACGTCAAAACTTTTTTGGGGTGTTGGGAAATTGGCAAAAATCTGGCGATACGATACGTATCACGATACAGGAGCAATGATACTATATAGTGTGATATAGTAGTGAACACCTGAACCTGAAACGATACATTGCCATATGTCAATGTATCGATGTATTTTCTTACCCCTCTAGTAAAAACTGTGTGACGACCCCTGACTAAAGGTCAAGCCAAAAGTGACCGTGTCTAGTGACCGACTAAATTACCCAGGATGACTTTCAAGTACCCAGTACTTTCAGGTCACTCGTACTGCAGCAGGACTGCTGACATTCACACTTAGTTCCTCGTTCTCTACACCTGTCTTTTCTCGGAATATTCTCCCCCTCGTTTAAAATACTTCAGTACTACTGTATGTGACCACCTGCTACCAGTCATGTAGTGTGTACTGCAGTAGTGCAGTACAGCAGTACAGCCTGTCCCTTCACTCTCCCTCGCTCTGTAACATTTGTTTTCTGCTACATTGCAAACAACAGAGATGATTTGTCCTGTTTTTCTTTGCCCGGCTTCACTCTGTGTCTGTGTCTGTGTCTGTGTTTGTGTGCATCTATGTGTGTGTGTCTGTTTGAGTGAAGCGTCTCTGGCTGCCGGAGAGTCGTACTCACCACCACCAGCAGCAGCAGCAGCAGCAGCAGACTCAGACTCCAGGCTGGTTCTGGTCTGACAAACTGAAACTTGTTTGTTCAGTAGCAGAGAGTGTAGAGAGACTGGGGGAGTATCGTTAGGGGAGAGACCACTGTCTCCTGATGATGAGCTGTGTGAGGAGACATACCATCTCACACACACACACACACACACACACACACGCGTACCCACTGCTGTGGTGGGCTTGAGTCTGGAACAGTTGTACAGTGTGTGACAAACTGTATAGAGCTGTTTGAAGCTCTAGTCCAGTTGGAAAAAAGTAGGAGAAGAAACTGGACAACCTTGTCTGCTGGAGCATCACAGACACGCACACACAGACACACACACCTGTGGTGTGGAATATGCAGTGTGTTGTCAGAGTGGGACACAGTCACTGATTCATAATTTACCACATTTGTTTTTTTTTTCAGATGGAGATGGATGAAGACCAGACCAGAGCTGGACCCCAACACGGAGGAGCAATAACTGGTACGCAGAAACAGAAACATTAATGTAGTAAATCATAGAGGTGAATGTGAATTCTTTTTAACTGTACTTTACAGTGATTTATCTCTGACTGCAAAACCTGCTGGTTTTTATTGGAGCAAAGAAAAATGTCCCGGATGGTTTTGGTCAACAACAAAACATAAATTACATTCATTCTCATTTATAACACCAGACGTTATTGGTGTTTAAAATCTGACACGACCTCTAAGGTTTGACCCCAACCAAGTAGTCCAATTTTCATATGATTTTTCTTCAATAACCGCAGGGTATTTTTGTCAGTGAGCAAATGAATTTTAAAATAATTTTAATACTTAAAAAAAAAAACAACAACATTTTGTGATAAAGAAAAATGTCTGCCTTAGATATTGGTCCTAAAACGTGAAGCTGAACAGACTGTAGTAATTGATTGGTAGCAGATATTAATCATTCAAATAGTGGCTCGCGGGCCACATGCAGTCCCTCGACGTGGCCGAAGTCTGTTTGACTTCACATATAAATATATTATAAAGGTTCTTCTTATACTCTCAGTAGAACGTTGTCCTTTATAATGTTGACAACAGCTCTGTGCAGATGCTTTTTTTTTTGCTGAGATCTGATTCAAAGCCCCCCCTCTTCCCCCCCCACCGCCCGTTGGCCCTGTTGTTCCTCCACACACTTGACAGCAGCCTCTCCTCTCCCCCTCCATCTGTTCTCAGCCGCCTCTCTCCTCTGTGGTCGGCCCATTAGCTGGGTGACCAGTGGACTATGTCAGGGGTGGCCTGGTCAGGGCATCACGCAGCTGTAACATGGATGGTGCCTTTCACATTAGTGTGGTGAACAAGGAGCAAGAGCAGGAGCTTTTCCATTAGCACCTCCCACGAGCTGCCAGGAGCCTGACAGGGCGAGAGAGAGAGAGAGAGAGAGAGAGAGAGGGGGAGGAAGGGGGAGGGAGGAAGAAAAATGCTGTTTCCTAACAGCCACACTCTGGACACCACCATCAGTCCATTTTTAGCATCTCCCATTTATTAACTACAAGTCATTGGTCTGCCAGATTCTAAATATTCCAACCATGGTTCAAATGATTTTTTTTTTCTTTTGTTTTCTTCTGTCGCTTCATCTCCTTGTCCTCACTCACACTGTTGTTTACCAGGTTTTCACCAGTTCACCCAGAAACACACACAGATTTCACAGTTTCAGCTCAACCTGAAGGTTGGATCCAACAGGAAGAAGAAGTCTCTCCACCTGTCGTCAGTCTTTATGCCTGTCAGATGGTGCCTGTGTGTGGGCACGTGCACTTCCACTGCTGTTAGAGACTACATCACTTTCATGGGAAAGAGCCAAGTGAAAAAAGGTCATAATTAGTGGGCAATATATATAGATATATGTACATATATATGCATACGTAGCTATGATGATTCTTGATCATCCAGGTCATGGTCATGGGTGGAGCACAGATACGTATTTTATCTTCCTTTCACTTCTCGTGAATTTAAGTACACAGTCTGAATTAGTACTCACCAACAGATACTTACAGAATCGTGAAACAACGTTCGTGCCCTCTTGTCACTTCCCTCCTTCTTTATCTGTCCTTTGTCTTCGTCTTATTTCTAATGGCAGCGGCTGACGTCTCTTTGATTAAGTGATCAAATGACAAAGGCCTCATTTGCTGTGATCACGACGTCGGTGGAAAAGTCTATTGACTTCTTTGTTTGTTTGGGTTTTTGGTCGTCGTCTCCACACGACTGTTCGGATTTAATTTGATGTTGAGATGCAGATCAAAGGCAGTCGTGTGTGTCCTGTCATCCACCTTCAGACAGAGCGGAGGTGAGACGGGGTGATGTCTGACGGTGTAGGTGGGAGTCACGGAGGGAGGGGGGTGCAGTAACAGGGTAGGGTAGAGTTCGTTTTTATAGTTTTTATGTGAGACAAAGATGTGGCCCATACCTAATATCAAAGATGTGGTCTTCATGTGGTTCTGTTCTGAAAGATGTGGTCTTCATGTGGTTCTGTTTAAACCATGGTGATGGACCAGGATTATGAGGATGGACTGATAAAATCTAGTTCATCAGGAAAAGTGGACTTTGTCTGAGACCTGACCCACATTCTGAACACGACGACAGAGTGAAACAAGAAGACGATGATCCTGGTTTGGCCGTAGTTTTCTTTGGATGAATTTTGTCTGTTGTTCAACAACAGACCAGTTTAATCTGACATGTGGCCCGTGTCTATTTCTTTGTTTGGTCAGAGTGGTGTGGACCGCGTCAAAGCCCAATCAGTGCATACATGTACATTATGTAGAATGACAGGACAATAGCTGCCATGTGATGATTACATGGAGAAAGACGCAGACATGGACAGGACAGGACGTCGTGGATATGTAATGATGGGGGGGGGTCGTTATACAGGATAAGACACTGCAGAGGAGAAGGAGGAGACATTAGGTGATGGAGCCGTCGGCTGAGATGAGAGTGACAGCAGGAGGGACGGTGGCAGGAGAGGACGAAGGAGTGAATGAAAGGATGAATTAGAGGAACAGCTGCTGTCAGACAGAAGACATCCCTCAAAATAATGATGATGTTTTAGTTGGTTAAAACGCACTGTTAAATATTGGTCGTGTTGAACATCAGAGATTCAGAGAGACCCACAGAGGATGAATGGATTCTTAAATAACACCGGACCCTGATGGATGTGTTGGCACAGGATCAGAGCACGACGTCTACTGGATCAGGAGGGAAAGGACACAGAGCCACGACGCTGTCGCCACGTGCTAATAAAGCTAACTGTAAACCAAGATATAAATAACGATTAGCACAGACATAGCTTTACATCTTCAACGTTTACGGGGCCGAAAGACCCACAAGGTCCAGAAACTGATGCAAAGATGAGTCATAGTCTGACAAAGCTTATAAAAATGAACACAAAGACAGTCTGACAAAGCTTATAAAAATGAACAGATTCTATTGTCAGCAAGAGTGCAGACGATTTCTAATTATTTATAGTAATTAATTCCAGAGGGTGGGGGCTCCTCACCCCCTGATAACTGGTCACGGTTGCATTTTTTTCAAACAATTCAGATCCAGAAAAACATTAATGGATAATAGATGTGTGTTTTGATACATGATACACGGGGAACGATAAGATGTGTTGTGATACTACAGGTTTTTCTTGAATCCACAGCTCATTGTCCTCTCCATTGTTTCCTCAAACCTTTGTGCATTCAGATTTGGCGGAAGTTGAACATGTTTCACTTGGTCAGACAATTTTTGCGGGCTGTAACTTTAAGGTTTGTCTTTTGTCTGGTTGGTGTGAAAAAGAACAGAGGAACCTGAAGCAGCATGTGAAAATCTGTCCATTTATCATCACCTTTACACTGCTCTTACCCTCCCAGGGTTATTTTGTCTGATGGGACTGAACCATCCCTCCTCCCCAACCACTCCAATAAGTGTTTTTCAATTACTGCTGTCAGCCCGTAATCATCCGGTGATGAATAGTCTGATATTCAGCCTTTATATTCATCTGCCTTCTTTGTTAGATTGTTTCTAGACAAGCCTGCATCCCTGTGTGTGTGTGTGTGTGCGCGACAAGAGGCAGAAGTATTTTTTTTAACAAAGTATAGAAGGTGAGAGGAAACGAATGGCAGCCTTAATGAATCTTGCTGTGTTTAATTTTTCATAACACAAACAAATATAAATGCCGCTTTTGTGAACAATTAAAGCCTTCAGTGCCAGTCGTGGGAAGAAGGCGGAGACATTGTTTTGATCAAATATTTATGATTATTACTCATCAGGGATAATTATTGCAATTTATTTCTCTTTTCCAGCCTCTTTTGGTGCTAATAACAAAAGGCGAAAAGCACAAACAAAAGTGGCCTAATATTATCATTAGAAGCATTATGTAAATACAGTGTTAGGCAGAAAGCATGTAATTGCAGCAAACGAATGGCCATGCAAAGCAGGCTGGGAAAAAAAACCCGGTTGATTTCATTACATTGAGGTCATTAAAGCCGAAAGAGTCGAAGAGTCAAATATTAGCGCAGGAAACATTTTGTTAATACTAGCTTGTGCATAAAATGGAAATTGTTCCAATTTACATGTTTAACTAAAGTGCGAGGAGGAAACAAAAGCAATAAAATCATTAAGAATAAATGATTATAAAATAGGGAGATTCATAAAACCAGGTTTTTTATTTTTAACTCCAAAGTTTCTTGAAGGGCAAACGGACCTGCAGTCTGACAAATTAACAAATCAATATGTTTGACTGTTTTTTTTTGTATCTGTCAGTTACTGTATATTGACTTTTTTATTTATATTTTTTAGAAAAGTTTCTTTCTTTTTTGCTGCTCTAGGATTCAAGATGGCCGCTCGTCTGCCTCGACCACAGGCTATTCTTTACATCAATCATCTTTATGTCCTCCTTTACTTTGTCCATTAAATGTCTCCTTTTCTTCCACAAATATATATAAAAAAGCAGTCCTCCCCGGGACGGGACTCTAACCGGCAACACTTCTTCCAATCCTAACCACAGTGTTGCTGCTGAATGTTATGCTAACTACATTAGCCATGATGATAAAGCAAGTTGTTTCCTAAATGATCCCTAACTTTAAGATCTCCATCTCTGTACTTTCTAGGAATCACCTGAAGTTGGCAACAGGAGGGAGTTGTTCCAGAGTTTGGACTTTCTGGTAAGTACAGAAAATAAATTGTTTATTTTTTATTTTATTCCCCAAAGTAACTGCAAGCGAGCCCCAAATCGTCTACAGTAAAGAAATCTCAGAAATCCACCACAAGTCATTTCCTAGAAAACAATCAAATCGAACCCATGCGCAGGCAGAGGGAGCCCCCCGTCCTCCCCCAATCCCTCCTCCACCGTCTCCCCCATCTCCACTCTCTCTCTCTCTCGCGCTCTCTCTCCATCTATCACATCCAGCAGGTACCACAGGCCACTGACCAAGCCTGTCCGCCCGTCATTAGCCCCGCGCTCTCCCCACGCGATCCGTGTGGCTACCCCTGTCTCCTCTCTCCAGCCCGGCACCCCATAATAATATCTCTTTCAACCTTCACACTGTGATAAATAGGTGCGCGTGGAACAAAAGGGACGGCAGCCGTGGTGGGGAAATGAGGGAGGGCGAGAGAACAGAGGGGTGAAGTGTGGGAGAGAATTAGGGGGAAAGAAGGAAAAATAGGGAATTTCTTCATGTGGCTGCAGTGTGTGTGTGTGTGTGTGTGTGAGGAGGTTGGTGTTTATTTCTGCTGTAGCTCAGAATATCCAGTGACAGTAGAGTGAGAGAAAAGCCCCTCCTCACACCATCAAAGGGTCATTTGTGAAGTTAATCAGATTAAAACTTTCTAAGGCAGAATGACAAGCATCATGTTTTATTTCTTAGTTTTTCGTTGACTGCTTTCTAAGGCAGAATGACAAGCATCATTTCACTGTCCGCAATTTTCTGTTAACGTTTTATTTCTTAGTTTTTCGTTGACTATACTCCAACTTTGTCTGGTAGTGATTTTGGCAAACTCTTAATACTTTCCTTTTTTTAGTATCACATTGTTTTGTATCCGTCTCCACACAGTTCTCTGTGTGAAAGCAAGTTGTATTTTTGTAAAAGTATACAAGTGAAATCTACCAAAATGAAATAAGCTCTATAGCAGTGATCATCAACTGGTGGCTCCCGGGCCGAATTCAGCCCGCTGAACCATTCCAAAGCAAACATCAAATAATAACGTCAGACAAAAATGTGATTTTTATTTCGTTTTATTCGAGTGTCTCTGCCTCCACGGTGTCTCTGCCTCCGTCAAACATAGTTTTTATGACATCATAGATACAGTTACTGACCTCAGCTGCAGGTTCAGACCAGGTGTCTCGTGTTTGTCCTTTATCACACATTGTCTAGTGTAATGAGACGGACGTGAGTGGACATCAGGTCCAGAGCTGAACAGACACCAGGGACGATGTCAGTGAACGGATGATGGAATCCCTCAGAGAACAGTGGAGAACAGTGGTTACGGCTTTGTGTTTGATGCGTGTGATGTTTGAGTCATAATTAAAAAGTCTCTCTGCTCCGTCTCCGCTGCTGCTCTCACAACATCCCTGTGATTTATTAGCACAGCCGCAAATTACAGCCTTTTTCCCCCCTCTCCGTGTGTGATATGTATATTATTATTACATTTCAGCAGTGGAGAAGATTGGTGTGTGTGTGGGTGTGTGTGTGTCAGTGTGTCAGTGTGTTGGCTTGTGGTCCATCTTAATATTTAGCTTTGTCCGTCATGTTGGTTAAATGGAGCTTCAGTGTTGTTGTCACATTTTCCCTCCCCTGCTGAGGTGTGTGTGTGTGTGTGTGTGTGTGTGTTCTTGTACTTTTATTACTGTGTGTAAAAAACGACCGCAAAGACATTTTTCAGGCCCTGCGTAAATTTGAAGACATTTCTGAGAGTCAAGACTTGGGTTTGGGATTAGAGTTCATTTAACTCAGGTTATTATTATTTGGTTACAGTATGTAATGCATTGTGGGTATTCTGGTAGCAAATGATGAGTGTATTTTTGTTTGACTTTTTGTGATCTTTCAGAAGGATTTCCAGCACATCCCTCTGTCCTACTTCCTTCTATCCTTCCTAGTTTCCTTCCTTTCATTCCTCCGTTCATCCTTGTTGCCTTCCGTCTCTCGCCGACTTGATTTAAGAGTTTCATTCATGGCTTTGACACGTCTGTATTTCCATCAAAGATTAAAAGAGTGTGTGTGTGTGTGTGTGAGCTCATCGATAATTCAACTTTAACATCTCTAAATCACAGACGTCCATTTCTTACTGTAGCATTCGTTCTCATAGATCAATGAATATCAGTGTGTGTGTGTGTGTGTGTGTGTACAGTGCACGTGGTGCACGTGCCTTCACAGCCCGGCCGACACTGTGTAATATCTTCTGTGCATACATTATCCGTCCGGCCTATTATCCAGAAATCATCAGCTGAAGAATGAACGTCTTCTTCTCCGTCCGCCTGATGTTTCAGAGCAGACTGAACCCCCCCAACACCCCCACCCCACGACCCCCTCCACACAGTCAGAGGTTAAGATAGCAATCAGGACTGGAGCACAGATGAAGGAGGACATATTCATATTATTTTAATGTTCAAAGTACAGCTCAGTCCTCAGAGATCTTTCTGGAGCAAAAGGAGAAAGGAAAAAAAAAAAGATGTGGACCAGCCGCTGTTTATTATTGTCAGAATAGAATAAAATCACATCAGTCTTTATGGACGAGGATTCCAACTCTGTCTGCGTTATATTTTTATTACCAAACTCCTCTTCTGCCTTTGGTTTCTGGTTGTTTTTTTTCCTCACTGTGTACACGTTATATTGAAGTTGACGTTGGAGTTTAGTTTCATTGCGACATTTTCACCACAGAAAGTTTAATAACGTGAACGATTCTTTTAAAAAAGTAATCATGATTTAACAACTCACTGCAAACACAAAACATTTTCCATTGAATGTGTTTGATGAGACTGAGCGCCAAAAATGACACACAGACACACACACACAGTGTTGTGTTGTGTTTCCATAGACGTTCTGTAGCTCCCTGCATTAACTTTTACAAGTTTTTTCTCTTTTTTGCTAACGTTAGCAGAGTTAGTTAAAGTTAGTTACTGTAAAGAGGAGTGAACTTTACTGTATGCAAAAGTATTTGAAATTTTTAAGAAGTTTTTTTCTCTAGGTCCTGGTACAAATTAATGAATCCTCCCAGTCCTGGGCCCCGCCCCAGCTGTTGAGGACACCTGTCCTATGGCGATGGGAGTCTGTGATTTGAATATATTTCAGCAGCGTCTGAACTGAGGCCACGTGTTGTTGTTCACCTTCTACATGTAAAGTAGAAAATGCATTGAATGTCGTGAACGTCCGACTCTGATTGAAGTCACTTCCCAGACTCAGGTCTGTGAATCAGACCCACAACAAGTGAAGGAGCCGAATGGAACTGGGCCTCGTGGAAAATAAAGGGAGGTGACACCGGCGCGGCCCGGCTGCTCTGCATGCTTCTTGCTGTTATGCATCAATCTATCAGCCGACCTTCTTACCATTCAGATTCCACACAGCGCACGTACACTATTCAGATGAGAGGCTGAGGTGAGCGGGGCTCCCGGGGCCACACCAGAGACATGGGCGACCTTTTCCATCACTGGTGGAGACTCTGGGTTGGCAGTGAATCCATCTCAGAGAGCTGGTGTGAAGGGTGATTTTCCTGAAGCCTGTCAGATGTTCTCCAGATCTGCCACCAGGCTGTGGTAACATCTGCACGGTCGCATGTGTTCAGCTGCCCTTCTCCGTCCCACCGCTGTCGTTTCCTGCAGATGTTTGTCACTGGTGGTCTCTCAGACAAATCAAAGTCCAGGAAGCAGAGATGTTCTGAAGCTGAAAGAGCTGCAGCAGCAGACGTACTTCACTGCAGCTGTGTGGAACGTCTTCTCAACACTTTTCTTCATTCTTCATTCATCTTCTTCTTCTTTTTCTTCTTCTCCTTATTTAGTATAAGTTGTCGTGTGGTCTTTTTATGCCCTCGGCCGTCTGCACAGACACCTGAACACAGCAGCAGATGAGTTAATCCAGGGATCAGGCGTGGGGTAAAGAGGAAGAGTGGAATCATTAGGATGCAAATGAGAGCCAGCGATTAGCATGTGTGGGAGAGATTGAAAGAGATACAGTTTGAAAGGCAGAGGAACAGACACAGTCGTCTGCGCTTTTCACCACTGAAAGCCGGCGACAGACGCACGTCCGCTGTCAGAGGTCCAGGCGACGGCTGCAATTAATTTTACATTGTGATGACGGTTTTCAACGGCCGCAGGAATTTGTTTGACAATGCAGCGACTCGTCCCACTGTCCAAACCTTTTATATTAGACGTTGTACCAGAGACGTGATGAGGAGCAGCAGGTAGTATATAATAGGTATATAAGCAAGCAAACCTGCAAGCTAGCTGGTAACAACGCTTCAGGAACGATCTGTCCAGTTCCCACTGCTTCAGTGTGAACTTGTTGAGAGGGCACGCACAGCTCCGTTAGCCGCTGTCTTAGCCGCTGTCTCGGCCGCTGAGGCTCTTCATAAAACAGAAATATGTAGTGGCTCAGGCCAAAGCCACCGCCAAATAAAATCCAGCCAAGTATCATCCAGGGAAACCGTCCATTCACACCATAAAAAGTACTCTTTATTTGTTTTCTCAGTCCGTTAGTCTGTTTGTGGCCACTTTACAGGTCTTAGCCACCAGGACATCACTCCTGTCCATAAATCCTCCTCTCATCTCCCTCTCTCTCTCTCTCTCTCCCTCAGTCTGTGAGTGTTTCAGGGAGCATCATGTGAGATTTATTTCCAAATATACTGTTGAGAAATATACTGTGTATCTCCTTGTTTTGAGGAGGGATTTACTCACCGTTAAAAAGAGTTATGTACAGAGCGGCGTCCTCCGCCCCGACTCTTGGTAACATGGTCTTTTGACATATTTCACCTGAGCCTCGGACTAATCCACATATCAATCCACAGAGTGCTGCTGAGGCCCAGACTTACAGACACAGAGCGGCTCCTTCTGCTCGGCAGAAATCCGTCTTAGTTTGAACCCAAATTTTATAAAGTAAAAAAATATTTTTTTACTGAATATTTTGATATGGAAGATTATCTTTGTATAGTGATGTTGTATTCTCACTTTTATGAG